ATGTTGCCATCAGCTTGGCTGTTGTTGGCAGGAGGCGGTGACTGTGGAGCCATGATGGGAGACGTTGAGCAGTCTGCGTTGATGATAGACGCGGATATCTGGATCAAGATTGGGACGGTGAGTGTGAAGCGGATGATGGGATCATGATGTTCCTTGCGGTACCAACGCTCATCTATATACTGCAAAGGCCCTCCCGGTCCTCAGCTACACCTCCAGTGTGCGTAACTCAGAGACAGCATAGTACAGACAGAGCGTGCACCTGGCAGGGCCGTTTGCCGGGCAAGCGCAGTGAAAATTTTTGCACACAGCCACCGTTGCCCCAGCGCAAACAATGACTGAGCGTAGGGACAAAGGGGATTGCTGACTGGACACATGCTGATAGGTCAGATAGGCACGGCACGCCCTGGTCAAAGACAAAGGGAGATGGTGTTGGCGATGGTCACGGCAATGTGCAGTGATGAACAAAGGGATCCAGTCTGGCCCAGAGCGCAGACAGACCCACTGGCAGTCTGATCAACTGACGCACTGAAAAGCTGACGCACTGAAAAGCTGACGCGTCAGAAAGTGGAGACGCTGATCTGTAGACTTGGCGGCGGTCTGACAGTCAGAGAAATTGGACGTACTGGTCCATTGACGTGTTGGCGGTCTGACAGACTGAGAAAATGGTGCGCTGATGGTCTGACAGACTTGAAAAGTCACAGTTGAATGGGCGGTCTGACAGACAGAAAAAATGGCGGTCAGACGGACAGGCAACGGACCAACGGACAAACGCGCCAGATCTGTATGTTGGGCATGGCGCCAGTGTGAAAGTTGGATTTGTACGTTGGGCACTGGACCAGTCCTCCACATTTGACCGTTGCCCAGCCAATTTCCTGGCAATTTTGATGCGTCTGTTGCTTGCTGTCCATTGCTCCTGCCAAAAAAAAATTGAGTCTGTTGCTGCACTAGAGCAGTGTCAAATGGCGTGTCTGTTGGACCAACGGACAAATGGAGCGGTCGCCCTTTGGCAGGGAAAAAAGCAACGGATTTGTTCGTCGTCCGCCGCCGCCGCCCCACGGCCTAGGGCTAGGGCTAGGGAGGCATCCAGCCTTGGCTGATCCTCCTGCCAACCTGGCCAGTGTAATCTGGCCCATTGTTTGCCTGCATGCCCTGCGTGTGTAGCTGGCCAAGCTCCAAATCCACCTAAGTGGCTATCACTCCTCCTGGGATGATGGCAGTATGCTGCAATGCCACCCCTGATCACCTCCAAGGCCGCCCAGCGTGATCTTACATGGCGTCAAGCCGTCCTGCCTGAGGCTAAACCAATTTGGCAGAGGCAGCCCCAACCTGCGTCAAACTTGCGTCAATTTGCTGCATACCATGGATGCCTCTGCCAATAACAGGCGCATCAGGGAACGCGCACATTGGTCTAGTGCCTATGCATAAGTGGGGATGTTGCAGTGGACGCACATAAGGGAAAATATTTTGTACCTGGCTGGGTCAAGGGTATTTAAACAGAGGATTTAGGGCCGGATGAATTCCCCAGAAATTCCAACTTTCATACTTTTCTTCAACGCGCATCTTCGAAGCTCAGCAAGAAATCACCAATCTTGCCGGTCTGCAAAAATGGACAGGTGCAACCTTTCGCTGTGCTTTTGGCAACATGACTTGGGCTGTTGCAGACCAAGCCCAGCGGCATGAGCGATCATACAGCTGCAAATCAACACGCTGAGATCAGTTACCCTCAAGCCGTGTAATGTCAGGCAAAAGATTTGGCGGAACGAAGAGGAGATGTCCGCTATGCCCGCAAGCGAGCTGCGCCAAGCCTTTTCCGCCTCCAACGGAAGTGCTTCGAGAAGCTGTTTCGGGAAGCCGCCAACCTGTCATTGTACGGTGCACGTTTGCTCGCATGTGCTTTCGGCTGAGCACTGTCCACTCGTGCATCGAATCAGGCGGCGGTTCTGGCGGTGCGAGTGCCACTGATGTGGGCGCAGCGGATGAGCCTCGTCAACGAGCGGGTCGGAGACGTAGCAAATGAAGGCCGCTTGTTCGACAACCCCTACCTCGTCCGACTATGATCTCTCATCATCATGAACAGTCGATGGCTGGCTCAGTGTCTCAGCGCAATGCGCCGCAGATGGCTGCTAGTGGTCTTCGCCTGCTTCGTCTCTGGCGTCATCTATCTGTTCCGCCGTGACCAAACACTGCAAAACACGCTCAGCTACAGCACACGGCCGCTCTGGGACAAAGAGGACAGCACTTTTCCGCAAAACGAGATCCAACACTTCACGGCCTGGTCAGTCAGCGCCAACGACACAGCAGCATGCAAACGACATGGCTGGGAACCATATCCGCAGCGTCCCAAGGTATACGATGTCATCATCTTTAGCGTTGAGCTAGAGATGCTCGAGCTGCGCCTCGAAGAGCTGTACGAAGCGGTCGATACGTTTGTCATCGTCGAAAGCAACACCACCTTCACAGGAAAGCCGAAGAAGCTGGGTTTCGACGCCAGTAGATACGCTCGATATCGCGACAAGATTCGCTATCTTACCATTGCCGGCAGAAGTCTCTTACCCGGGGAGGGACCTTTTGCCATTGAAGGCGAACAGCGACGACGCGTCACAGAGCTGCTTCGCAGCGAGGTTCAACCACCAGAGGGAAGCTTGATTCTCATGTCCGATGTCGACGAGCTGCCATCACTCGGCGCTGTGCAGCTTCTTTCTTCTTGCCGAGCGCCTTTGCCATTGCATCTATCGCTCAAGTCGTATGTCTACTCATTCGAATTTCCAACCAGCGCCAAGTCCTGGCGAGCTCAAGTTCACGCATGGTCCACAACCGACACTTGGTACAATCACGGCAAGAACAGCGACAACATCCTGCTCGATGCCGGCTGGCATTGCTCTTCTTGCTTCAGTCGAATTTCGGACTACCAGTTCAAGATGCAATCGTACAGTCACAGCGATCGACTGTTCGGCAACCGACACTGGCGCCAGCTGTTGCAGCCAAAGGTGATATTGGATCACATCTGTCAAGGCAAAGACCTTTTCGACATGCTGCCGGAAGCGTATACATGGAGCGAGTTGTTGTATCGCTGGAGCGGCGAGGCAAAGAGCAACAGCACGGCCAATCTACCGCAAGCGCTCAGCCAGAATGAGCAGCAGTACCGCTTCCTGCTTCCTGGTGGTTGTCGAGATAGAGACTTGTCGTCTGTATTGCAATCGAAGCTGTGGTAACGTGTCGCGTTGAGCTGTGTGGTGCTGTGCGTTCAGCTCGAAGATCCTTATTCTGTGGAGTAGAATCAGCACGTGACTGAGCGACGCGGGCAACCGAAAGCAACACTTAGGCGGGCGAGAAAAACACGAGAATTTCGCAGCAGCAGAGCGCAGTCCGGAATTTGGACTCAGACCGAGCTTGTCTTTGTGACACCTGCAGCTCGAGCTTGAGTCCAACTTCAACCATCACGTCCACCATCCATTCGACCATCCCTCAAGACATCGCTTTCGGTCGCATCACGCCATTTTCTCCTCCTCGACGTCGATCGCGCAGGTTCTTCGGCCGCCGCACTTCCAAACGCGCTGACGAGCTAGACCATTCGCCACGATGATGGGAGCACCGTCCAGCATGGGTCCCCCCGCCGTTACACCACGCAAGGCACCCACAACACCATCCCACAACAACGCCTTCGCTTTTGGCGTCACACCGCACAAGACTCCCTTGCGTACACCTGGCGGTTCCAAGATCGAGCAGACCTCCTCGACACCCATCATCGACTTCAACGCCATCGAGTCACAGAAGGAAAACGTCCAACCACTCGCCAAGGGCAGGTCAGCGCATGCACTGTCCAACACCCTCAACATGCAGCACAAGCAGCGACATGCCTTGCTCGCCCAGCAACGCGCCGAACACGAGCAGATCGTCACGTCAGAAGACAACGCCGACTCGGACGATCCATTGGAAGCGTGGACAAAGTACGTCAAGTGGTGCATCGACAACTTTCCTTCCGGTCAGACCCACGAGTCGGGTCTCATCCCGCTTCTTGAGCGTGCAACGCGCCACTTCAAAGATTCGGAACAGTACACCAACGATCCAAGATATCTTCGGCTATGGATTCTCTACGCGAGAAACGTCGAGTGCGCTCGCGATGTCTATAACTTCTTGCTTGCCAACGAGATCGGCACCAAGCTCGCCAGTCTCTACGAGGAGCTCGCTGTCGTTCTTAAGGGTCAAAGAATGTACGATGAGGCGGATGCCATGTATAAGCTCGGCATCGCACGCAGAGCCAACCCCATCGACCGGATCAAGCGCAGATACGAAGAGTACAAGACCCGCATCATTCTCGGTCAGACCGAGTCTGCTGGCTCGTCCAGCGCTGGTATCGTCACCAACTACGCTGACGCCCTCAAGGCTGCCATGGTCACAGTAGGCCGAAGCATGCTCGGCGAGAAGGATGCCTCTGTAGGGCCAGCACGCAGTCACTCGGCCAACGTGCTGCGTGGGGCAGGAGCAAGCGTCGGTGCCATTGGACTCAGCACGCAAACACCATCCAACAATGGCCGCAAGTTGAACGTCTTCCACGACGTCGACGATGACCGATCATCGCGGTCCAAGGCTCAGGGCGCCAGCACCAAAGGATGGGAGGACATCGGCACCGTAGCCTCGCGCAACCAAGAGAATGTCCAGGCCGACCGCTTGGCAGGCGTGAAGAGCTTCAAGATCGGTGCCCAGGGCGGTGTCTCCAAGAAGCCCGGATCTGGCCTCGCCGTCTTTAGAGACTCCGACGACGACGACGACGAGGACACGGACGACACAGCGTCGACAATCAAGCCGGCAGGTGTCTTAAGCCCCAAGGATCACGCGAGCAAGTTGGCAGGTGGGCTCGGTCGTAAGGCTCAATCCAGCGAGACTGATCTGCTGCGAAGCAACCCGTTCGCGTATTGGGGAAAGGACGCCAAGCTCGTCCCTGATCCGGCTAGTCTGCGTGCCGACTCTCAGTCATCTCGCAAAGTCTCGAGCTCGAGCACCGGCTCCAACGGCGAGAGGCATCGCACCAAAACCACTTTTTCCCGCTCCACGCAGCCCAGCAACGGCTCAGCCGCGGTCGCTGCCGCATCAACGGGAGGCAAGCGCGAGAAGCAGGCCGCTCCCCTCGCCCAGATGCTACCTCGATTTCGATCCAGCTCGCAAAAGGCCTTTTACAAGCAACGAGGCTGGCAGTGCGAGCTGACGCTGGAGGAGCTGACGGCTCGCAAGCGAGGCTTCGGTCCAGTTATTGAAGGCTGGGAGGACGCAGCCGAGGCGAAGCAGATCGTCTCAGATCCCTGGACGTACCTCGACCAGCTCGTCGGTCGCTGGCTGCCCGAGGATGCGCCAGCAAAGAACCCATTCGAAGCCACCCAGACGATCGACGCGACCACCGGCATCTTCCCCTCACGCGACGAATTTGATCCCGACGACTCGGTCGCCAACGCCGTCGCGCTCAACCTCCGTCCCGGCCTCAAGAAGAAGAAGAAGCGCGAGGGCGAGACCACAAGCAAGGTCCGAATGAGCCCGACTCTCGTCACCAAGGCGGCGGTGCTCGAGGTGGAAAACATGTTCAACGGCGACACCGATTCGGACGAGGAGAGCAGCGAGGACGACGACGACGAGGACGAGGACGAGGACGACGACTTTGTCGCACCACTTGCCAGTGTTTCCAGGCACGGGCACATGGGTATCTCCATCGGCTCGTCTGCAGACGTCCCACCTACCCCGACGCCGCTGTCCCGCTCCAACCACCTTGCCAAGTTTGCCGTACAGAACGACGAGAACGCCGGCGTTTCAGCAACTCCCCTACGAACGCCAGCCGGACAAGCACCGAGACTCGGACTGGGTGGCGCTACGCCGATGCGCACTCCCCTCGCAGCCAAGTCAGCTCCCGTCACACTCGGCTCAAAGCCCGTCTTCTGCGAGGAGGATGAGGACGAGGAGGCCGAAGAGCAGCTTCCGGCTCCAACCCAGGTTGAGCAGGCTGGTGAGATTTCCGTCCCCGCTTCGCCCGAGCGTCCGATGACTTCGGCAGCTGAGGAGGCTGTCGCAAACCCACCTGTGCCCGCCACTCCAATGCCAACCAACCGCCAATCCGCAAGTCGACGCTGGATCGAGCCCATGACCGAGGAAGAGGAAGAGGAGGAAGAGGAAGAGGACGTCGACGAAAACGGCAACCCTATCGACACCTACGAGGGCAACGAGCACCTCTTCCGACCGCAATTCCAGCCGCTCACGCCGATCACAGAGGCAACATACGAGTTCACGCGCTACACCAACGGTCGCACGCCCGGCACTGCAACGCGCTCGCACCTCGGGCCCGTGCTCAAGTCCCTCCATCCCACTGACGAGGACGATGATGAGGACGAAGAAGTTGACGAGCCTGGCACAATCCTCACCGCTGGCCCGATCGCCGTCCCAGCCGCACGACAAGACATCGAGAACTCAGACGAGCGCAGTTTCGCCTCGACCTCCGGCGAGTCCGCCGAGCGCTCCGCATGGACCGCAGACAACAAGGCGTCATTCGAACTCACCAAGGGTCTCACAATCCGCTGTGCTGCTCCTGAAGGCGACGCCTCGCTGAATGAGCGGTTCGAGGACTCTCTCGTCATCGAAGACACCCAGGCGCCCAACCCGTGCAGCCCCACCAACCCCTCGGTGCTCAATGCGATCCTCTCCCGACTGGATGTGCCGCTCGAGTCGCTGCCCGGCTTCGTCTCCCTCTCCTCGTCCTCCGGGAGCCTGCTCGCCGAGCTGCAAAAGAAATGCAAATCCAGCCTGGCGAGCAACCAGATGACGCGCAAGAGCATGGGCGGCACCGTGTTTCAGGGTACAGGCGTGCTTTCCTCTCCCTTCACGGTCACCATCGGTGGAGAGAGATTTGAGATTCGGGGCAAGCTCGGCGAGGGTGGGTACGGCGCGGTGTTCCTCGGTTACGACCTTGATTCTGTTGCTACGCCTGCCAAGGAGAGCGACGAGGACGATGAGGACGACGAGGATGAGGACGAGGATCGTCGACGACAAGTGGCGATCAAGGTCGAGACTCCAGCCAACAGGTGGGAGTTCCACATCCTCTCGCAACTCCAGTCGCGCCTCCCCTGCGCAGTCCTCCCATCGATCATCGCCGCGCGCAAGCTCTATCACTACAGCGACACGTCGTTCCTGCTGCTCGACCTGGGCGAGAAGGGCACGCTGTTGGACGTGGTCAACCACTCTCTGACCGCTGGAGTTGCCGCTCCCTCCGCCGAGACATCCGGTGTTGCTGGGCTCGAGGAGGTGTTGGCCATGTTCTTCGTCACAGAGCTCCTTCGCGTCATCCTGGCCATGCATCGCGCGGGTCTCATCCATGGCGATTTGAAGATCGACAACTGCCTCCTCCGCCTCTCGGACGTGACCCCGTCTTCGGCATGGTCCAACGTCTACACGCGCACAGGCGACGCAGGGTGGAGCGCAAAAGGTATGACGCTCATCGATTTCGGTCGGGCCATCGACACCACTTGCTTCCCTACCGACCAGACGTTTGTCGCCGACTGGGAGACGGACGCTAAGGACTGCTTCGAGATGCGTGCAGGGCAGAGCTTTACCTACGAGACGGACTGGTTCGGCGTCGCTGCCGTCGCACACTGCTTGCTGTTCGGTCGGTACATGGAGACAAAGGTGGATGGAGATGGGAAGCATAGGGTCACGGCGGGCATGAAGAGGTACTGGCAGTCGGAGCTGTGGTTGGAGCTGTTCGATGTGTGTTTGAACCCCAAACACGGGTCGGAGACTCTGGACAAGGAGGCGGTGCTGGCGAGGCTGGAAGGCTGTCTGGATGGCATGCAGGGGTGGTTGGAGGTCAACTCGAACAAGGGCGGCAAGAATCTCAAGGGTCTGTTGCGCAAGCTGGAGATCTGGGCCATGAAGCAGGGCCATTAGACCGTCCTCATATTTAAGACAGAATCATTGCATTGCTTTGCCTTGCATCACTCGTCTTCGCTGTCCTCAACAAGTGTCTGCTCCGTCCTGCCTGGCCGATCGATCGACTGAAAATAGCCCATGACGGTGAAATCGAATGGCGCTGTCTTGGTCAGCAGGTCCGGCAGCTTTTCGCCAAACGATTGCGTAGTGTCGCGGCGGGAAGAGCGGCGTTTGGAGGGCGTGCCGGTGTTCGACTGAGTCGCTGCCGGGGCCGAGGTGGCCGCTGTGGTCTTGGTGGTCGTCGCGCTGCCGGGCGCCTTTGCAGGTGTGTCGGTGCGCTGTGCGGACGCAGCCGCCGCTTTCTTGCCGATCGGCGTTGTACCGAGGAAGGCGGCGAGGATGCTCTCCGCCTCGCTCTCCGTCAGTGCACCACCATGCGGTCGACCTTTCTCGCGAGTAGACATTTCCTCGTCCACGTCCATATCAAGGACTTCGCTGAGCGCCTTCTTCTCCGTGCCGTCCAACGCTGCAGCTGAGGGAGACGACGACAGAGCGAGCTTGAGCTTCTTCCTGGCGCCATCATCAGAGAGCAGAGAATGCGATGCTGCTGCTTCCGAATCCGTCGCGTGGATCTCTGCTAAAGACTGGGCGACTTTGAAGGAGCCCGTGTCCGGAAGTGTTGGGTACATGTAGCCGAGGGAGGATGCCATCGAAGTGATGGAAGAAGTCGTGGACGATGTTGAAGGTGAACGGTGCTCGCGCGTCTTGAGAGGCGAGCGACGCAGGCTCTGACTTGCTCGACGGGTGCCCAACACAGAGTTGTACGATCGCGATGGCGAGCCGGCTTCGTCGACGGCGGAGTCGACTTCGCCCTCCTCATCATCGTAGTCGAAATCGGAGAAAGAGTGCTCGGCGATTCTTCGTTGCCGTGCAGAAGCCAGAGCAGCTGCGGCGGCGGCGGCACGCTGTGGACGACCTTTGGTCCTGGGTGATGCGCTATCATCTTCTTGGTCCTTTGGTGTGGACTTGCCCTTGTAAATTCCTCCGACCTCTGGACTTCCCCGTCTTCGCATCCGCCTTTCGGGTGACACCGCCTCCCTGCTGGAACGACCCCGCGTTGGTGAAGCCTTCTCGGTGCGAGCTGCGAATGCCTTTCTCTGAGCGGGGCTTGCTTCTTCAGCATGGCCGCTCGAAAGCGTTCGTCGCTTGCGACGGCTATCTTCGACCGCCTCTACAGCAGCTGCAGTGAGCGGCGTTGGGAGGCTGTCGATCCTCTGCTTAGGTTGACGGGCACTGACTCGGCGCGACAGGTCGCTCTTCTCGTTCAAGGCCGGAGATTGCCTGCCTGTTGGGCTCGCGCTGTCTGAGGTCTCCCAGGTGGCGCGACCAGCTTTGATGCGAATCTTGAGCCTGGGCGACTGACTGCGTGTGGTTTCATCGTCCGCGGCGTTCGATGTCGACTCGAGCTTGCTTGCCAATGTCGATGGGCCGGGCGATGCTCGCTTGGTGTTGTTTGAGATCGAAAGCAGCAGATCATAGCGCTCCAGGGTCTCGTATGCATCGTCGAGCAGCTCCTTTCGTACATCCTCTATGCGCTCGCTCAGAGGTCTGACCTCGGTGTCTGGCTGTGCCGCTTCATCTTTGCTCCCGCTCGCTTCTGCCCTGACCTGGTCTCGAGCGACAACGATGGGCTGAAGCATGCGTGGTTCCGCCGCCTTCAGCTGCTCGATTCGCAAAAGAAGCTTCTGCCGATCGCGGGTCAGCCGATCCACTTCTGCCTTCCTCTGACGCTTTTCTGCCGCCTCTGGCTTGCGATGCCTGCGCTCATAGGCAGCATCAGATGTGTCTTCGGCAGCTTCGGAGCGCAGGCCGCGAGTCTTGGGCATGTAGAGGGTATCATCTCGCTGCTTGAAGTCGGGTGTCTCGATAAGCTGCTGTCGCTTGATGGCCAGGGTAGAGACGAGGGAGGACGAGGGGGCTACTGGAGCTTTGATCGGCTTTGATGGTGCTTGTGACGATGAAGCCAGGCTGGCTTCCTCCGATTCTGCCTTGACTTTCAGGCTTGACGTAGCAGCTTCGTCATTTGATGACGTCGCGTTCTGGAAGACAGCGCGCGCCAGGACTTGTGGATCTGAGCTGAGAACGACGATGGAAGAGGACGAAAAGTAGCTGCTGGGTGCTAAAGCTGCACGCGATGATGAGGATGTCGTGTGTCCCACCGCGGAGGTAATGGCACCTGTCCCATTCTGACCAATTGTGTGCTGCTGAGGGTTGTTGCCCAATGGTGATGCAGGCGTCTCGAGCATCATGAGCTCCTCCTCGAGCGACGAGCCAGCAAGCAGCGACGAAACTTGCGACAGACGAGCGGGCATCATTCGACGGCGGGAGGTGCGTTGCGGGACGGGTGCTGAGCTGGGACCGGGTCGATCGAGCGATAGATCACGCTCTGAGGTTGGAGTGGAGAGCGACGAGTCAGAGGACAGCAGCTTGCCGGGGCCAGATGATGTCGGCTCCATCTTTGCAGATCGAATACTGGCGGGAGGTATCGATGCATCTTGAGGCGTGGCAGGTGCGGTGGGAGGCGAGCTGGGTGGTGACGATAGCTGCATGTCCACATCTGCCACCTCCTGTGCCTCCTTCAAGCTGGCAGGATCGATGGGCGAGACTGTCGATTTTGCATCCGAGGCTTCAACATCGGCCATCTGCACGTCATGGTGACCAGTGATGGGACTCTGATGCTCCAGATCGTCGGTTTCGTCCGAGTCATAGACGGAGATTGGTGGTGATTGCTTCCGCGTTGTTGTTTCAGGCGCTGAGCTCGAAGATGACGCCGCGAAGAGCGACGCAAAGAGACCTGCAGCCATGGCGTGCGGGTGAAGCTGCAGCCAGCCAGCCGAGCCCTCGAGGTGAAGCTCTCTCGACGAGAGCGAGAGCAGCTCTCGGCTGAATTTACTGGTTGGGCATCAAGGCGTTGTATGAGACCTGTGAGCTCACGCTGTATGCTGCGATGTGAGCCGTGCTGGTGTGCTGAGCGGTGCCGATCAATGTGCGGATAGTTGAGGATTTGGAGCTGTTCCGCTCCGCGACGCGACGGAATGCTGAGTGAGCGCGTCGGCAGCGCCTGGAACGATGAGCGGGCCGTTCCGTCGGATCGGAGTGCTGGTGGTGAGAAGGTGTTAGTGGAGAAGCCGCGATGGCTGAGCTAGTGAGGCAGGCCGTGGGATCATGACCAAGCAAGCAGCGGATCTTCCTATCCAGACGGTCGAGAGAGCATCTGCACCCTTCTTGTCTTGCTCGGTTGCCCATTCTCACTTTTTGGCGGAAAAGTCGTGCATACGGCGGCTGCAGAGCGCATTCTTCTTTTCGAATTCAAGGCGTAGCGGTCAGCAGGGTTGGCAATCACAATCTGGGACATCATCTCGTTCGGGCCTTTAGCATAGTCAGTCGGAAACTCGCTTTGTCGTGCTCAGAGCTCTTCCTATGTAGTTCGTCCAGCTGCTGTAGTTACGCCATCTGGTGGCCATGGGCGCTGAAGCGACCTGCGGCGGTCCATGCAGCTGGAGTGCGGTCTCGATAATCGAGCACAGCAATATGTCAAAATCCTTCGAAAAAGAGGCTCGGAAACAGAGGCGCCAAAATCAAACTCAACTCCGACCTTGAGCCTCATCGAGACAACCAGGCGCTCAATAGCGATCAAGGCAGACGGACGTACGGGCGATCATGTTGAAGTGTGTTGCATCATGTGTACACTGATTCTACAAAGAAGACGGAGCAGTACATGACATCGAAGCGCAGCATTGCAAAGGCAATAGGCGATGATCAAGGCGCCGAGAGGCACATCTCCATAAACGTGTCGTAGTTGATCTGCACCCAGCCTGAGCGGTTGTTGTCGTGGCGTTGGAACGACTCGGTGAGCGCCTTGATTACCACGCAGGCCCTAACGAAGCGATCGAACGTAATGCCGGGTGCGCCTCGCGCTGGTCCTGTCGAAGCCATGCCACCTGGGGCGCCAGAGTCAGAAGTTACTGCTGAGGGTCAGTACGAATAGAACACGGTCAGTTCAGCGGATCTCAGCCGTCCATCTGGCTTCGGGAGGGTTGGATACGTACTGTACTTTTGCGTCACAATGTGGAGCAGCTTGGGCGAGAGACGGTATCCGAAGGACTGCAGCGCGTTTGCCAGTTCGCCTTGGTCGATTGAGCCCGAGCGGTCCTGGTCGAAATGACGGAAGACGCCCTGCCAGTCCTGAATGTATTTCCAAAGACCAGCGAACTCGTTGAAGCTGATTTGGCCGCTGCGGTCAACGTCGAATACGCTCATCAGCATCTTGACTGTGTCCAGGTCGAAGGGCGTCCAGTCGCCGTTGACGAGCGCTTGGCTGAGTTCTTGCGCGTTGATCTGTCCACTGCGGTCGCGGTCGACAGCGATGAACCACTGCCACAGCTGAGGATCCGCTCCAGGAGGAGGCCCCGTCGAGGAGTTGTACACTTGTGGGCGACCATAGCCTTGTGCGGGTGCGCCGTAGGATGACTGCTGCTGGCCACCGCCGTATCCGCCTTGCTGTCCCGGAGGAGGTGCGCCGTACCCTCCACCCTGCTGACCGGGAGGAGGGGCACCATATCCACCTTGCTGACCGGGAGGAGGGGCGCCATATCCACCGCCACCGCCTTGCTGAGGAGGTGGTGCTCCGTATCCGCCTCCGCCGCCTCCGTACTGCTGCTGCTGTCCATATCCCCCCTGTTGACCGGGCGGAGGTGCACCGTAACCTCCACCTCCTCCACCACCTGCGTACGAGTATTGGTTCGACATGACTGCGTGTGCCCGATTGGCTTGAGGACGCTTTCAAACGATTACGATAATCTTGGCTTGAGTTGGGCGAGACCGTTTGCCGACGAAAGGTGATGAAAGTCAGAAAGCACTGCGCAGCAACGAACAGCCACAACCTTATATTTGCGGACTTGGCCCATGCTCGCAGCATGACGTCGCGGCACCGGCACAAGAGTCTAACACTGGGAACATTTCGTCTCCGCGGACCGCCGGAAGGCCCTCGTTCGCTCTCCTCCATGCTCAAGGACTTACTGGCCCACACGCATCACAGTGTCAAACAAGATAGGGCGCGTATCGTATCCCTCTATGTCAATTCAATGCTGATGATGATGACGATGCGCTACAGCAGGGGATAGACCCTGCACCTCGCTGGTCCTCCGTGAAGCGGTCGGACTGCCGTCGTACGTGCTACTGTACGAAGGCGAGGCTGACATGGGCGTGCTTGCAAACGCACCGTTGGGCGACACACCAATTCCGGCGCCGACCTTCTCCAGCTGCACCGCTACACTTTCGAGGCCGTGAATGCGCGATTTTAGCATATTCTCCACCTTCTTTGCTATCGCTTCTGGCGTCACTGTGGCCGAGTCACCTTTTGATACTGCACCACTATCCTCACTGGTGTGACCACGACTGTGACCATGATGGTGGCCATGGTCGTGACTATGCTCGTGATTGTGGCCACGGCTGTCGCCATGAGGGTGCTCGTGTGCTTGCTGATGGCCGTCATCGTACGCTGTAGAGCCGGTGACAGGCCATGAAATCTGCACACGGATGACGCCGATCAGTGTCTCTGCATCCTTCGGCCAGAAGCGCGGCGAGTGATACGAGACAACGCCGTCGATGCTGCGAAGTGAGTCTAACGCCTCGGTCATCTCGGTTTCTCGATGCGCTCCTACCTCGAGGCAGAGGATTCGCCCCGACTCGAGCACGAGTGGAATCACCGAGCCGACGATCATGAACGCGATAAAGAGAGAGGCGATCGGATCGAACCCGGTCCATCCGAACTGCCCGATGAGCAGCGTGCTGATGATGACACCCACAGAGCCCAGCGTATCGGCCATGACGTGAAGGTAGACACCCATCATGTTGTGCGAATGGCCGTGTCCGTGATCGTGCCCGTGTCCGTGACCATGATCGTGTCCATGCCCATGCGAATGACCGTGGTGGTGATGCCCACCCGTGGCCCACATGCCGAAAAGATTAACGCCGAGTCCCATGCTACTGACAATGAGCAGCTGCGTGTTGTTGTTCATCACCGGCGGCTCGATGATGCGCTGCACCGCCTCGAACACGATAAAGACCGAGATGAGGATCAGAAAGATGCCGTTGGCGAATCCACTGAGCGTCTCGACTCGACCGTATCCATACGTAAACGTCGAATCGGTGGGCCAAGTCGCCATGACACTGGCAAACAGACCCATGCCGATGGCGGCGCAGTCGAAAAACATGTGGATCGCGTCGCTGATGAGACCCAAGCTGTTGGTCCATACTCCCCACAGAAGCTGCACGCCCATGAAGGCCAGGTTGAGCATGAGGAACTGGAAGATCTTGCGCGAGTCCGGGTTGGCGAGGATGATCTTGATCGTGCGTCGCGTGGCAGCTGCACCAGAGCGGAAAGAGTCGACGAGCTCCTGCACAGCGGAGATGTCGGACGACTTCGTGGACGCACCACCGCTCTGTGCTACGTCTCCTTTGCTCGGTGAAGAGGAAGCGAAGCGAGATGAGACGTGATCTGGCGAGTGTTTCAGAACGGTGCGCAGTGCTTGTCCGACGAGGAGAGCCACGATGATCTGCGACCATTGCGGCTTAAGGCCAAATCCAACGAAGCCGATTCCGAAAGAAGCAAGGACAGCGATGGGCCAGCCATGTGCGACGCGATCTTTGGTGGAAGCGTGCGATTCGATCGAGGTGCTGACAAGAGGCTCGAGGATCAAGAATCCAAAGCTGATGGCAAGGTATGCTGGTAGATGGTTGAAAGTCGAAGAGCCAGAGCTTCCGCCTGAAGATGATGAAACAAGCGATGACAGGGCTGGGAGGGTCGAGAATCCCAGCAAGTGGAAGAGAAGCGATGCCGGCAAGGTGAAGGCGGAAGCTACGATGGTGGCCACGATTCCTGCTTTGCGTCGACCACCTGTGTCTCTGCTGGCACTGAGCAGCGCACTTTCCCTTTCGATCGTGAGCAGAGCAAAGATGAGGAGATAAGCATGGCCGGTAAGCGTGCCAAAGACGCTGAAGTTGGCGACCGACACATCCACCGCCGCGGAGGCAGCTCGAAGCTGAGAGGGCGACGCCAGATCAGCGGGTCTGTTCCTTCGGAGGCTGTCGGGCAAATCGTTGTCTGCGTACATTTCGAGAAGCTGACTCGAGAAGCTGTCATTTGCAGCCAGTGGCGCGCCGGCGTTCAAGATGGAGGAAAGGAAGGAGATGGCGAGAGCAAAGAGCGTTGTGTATCCGCCGTAGCTGCGACCCCGAAGGCTTCTGGCGAGGTCTACAGCCCAGATCTCGCAGTACTGGGTGAAGATGATGACGTTGACGGCATCGAGCTTGTGCAAGGCCATGAGCCAGACGAGAAGCTGCGCAAAGGAGATGGCAGCCAAGGCGCAGAGTCTGCGCTTGTCGACCCTCTTGACTGCTGGCAGCCACTGCCATGCCTTAAACCACACGGCCTGGAGTGATGCTGCGATGAAAAAGGCGGATGTGGCAATTGCCCACGAGCTGGCACTGCTCGAGATGGTGCTCCTCGGTCTCGTCGAGTCTGCATCGTCGAGGGAGAACTGCAAGTGTATTGATTCGCTGTGTGAAGATGCGAGCCATGCGCGTACCAACAGTGCTGCCGATGCTAGAAGCGTCTTGTTGAGCAACAGCCCGAGCAGCAAGTCTGTCGGAATCGGAAAGCCAAGCAGCGATGACGACGATGTGTGTGCCGATGAGCCTGAGGGACGTGATGGAGATGTGACGGGCTCCATGCGCACCTTTGCGCGAGTGCGCGAATCGGGCGTGGCGATGGTGTTGTACGCCGGCGACTGCATGGTGGTGTGAGTCGCCAGCTCGGGACCAGCCCAAAGACAACAGCAAAAAGCAGACAGATAGGCGACCCAAGGACGGCTCGAGGACGATGGTGGAGATGATCAAGGCTGTCAGCTGGACAGGGACTGCCAAGGTGAATTGAGCACGTTCAACAGTGTGTCAGTGTCACTTTCTTGGCTTTCGGGTCACCGTGCGTGCTGTGCTCCTTGAGAAGAAAGTGACACCGCCTGGGTCACAGGCGCACAGAGCCAACAAGCTCAACCGGAAGGGTTGTCAAGCGCGCAATTTTGAGCTCTGTGTGTGTGATCAACGTAACATCTCAAAATCGGCGCTCGACCTCGTCCTCCCCTCGAACCGTGACGACAATGCAGGGTGACACAAGTCGTGGGTCTATTCATAAGGTGATCTGATACACGTCAAGCAAGCAGCGGTGCGCAAGTGACGTGAGAGGTATATCCGATTCAGCTGCATTCAATGCCCGTGTTACAATGAAGACGAAAGCAGCAAGCCTAAAGTACAGAGAGAGTTGTTGTGCTGGTTTAAGTCACGCTCAAGGAGCGAGCGACTTCTCCGAGTGACCGGGCTCGGACTCCTCGGCGTGCACCTTGCCGGCGTCGAGCTGGTTGAGCGCATCCTCCTCGGCGTCGAGCTTCCTGAACGAGATCGAGAAGCCGATGAAGCCGGCAAAGGCGATGCAGCCAAACACAGTGTAGCTCCAAACCAGGTTGGGGTCCTCCGAGAGGGCGATGAAGGCCTGCTGGAGGGCAGCAGCGATGGCCGAGGTGAAGAGGAACATCGACATGACGAGCGATCGCATCGACTTGGGGGCCTTGGAGAAGGCGTACTCGAGACCGGTGATGGAAGCGAGGATCTCCGAGATGGCAATGAGGATGTACGAGCCCGACTGGATCCACACGTTAAGGGGAGCGGGCACGTAGACGGCGCCGTCCTCAGATCCGTCAGCGCCAAGGTCGGCAATGCCGTCACCGTTGATGTCGTAGCACGTCGAGGCGCTCTTGCCGCACTGCGAGGTCTTGTAGATGTAGTGCTGCACGACGGCGGCCCAGACCATGGCGAGAGCGCCGGTAAGGAAACCGAGAGCAATCTTCTTGAGGGGAGTGAAGTTGATGCCGGCCTTGCGCAGAGCGGGGTAGAGGAAAAGATCGAAGATGGGAATGAGGATGATCAGAACGAAGGGGTCCAGGTTGGAGACGACCTCGTTGGGGAGACCGTTGACCTCCATGGTGGCGGCCTGCGAGACGAGGTTGTTGGTGATCTGGTTGTAGGTGAGCCAGTAGAGAGGGAACCAGAGGAAGACGGTGCAGGCCTTGAAGCCACGTCGCACCTCGTCGACCCAGGCATCGTCGAAGGTCATCCAGCGAGGCTTGGACTCGGCGGTCTGCTTGGAAGGCTTGGCGTTCTCCCAGAAGTCGTCGGCACGCATGTTCTTGACGAGAGTGATGGGGTTGAGCGACCAGCGACCCTTAGCGGCGAAAGACCAGAGGCGCATGCACTCGCCCAGGACGGAACCGGAGGGAGGCGTCTTGACATAGTACTTGCTTCCGAAAGCGAGAACGGGAATGCAGAGAGCAAAGACGATGGTGGGCAGAGTGTAAGCGAGCCAGAAGCCGACGTACTTCTCGGAAAAGGACATGCCGAGCTGTCCGCCGAGGGCGCCAATGTTGATGAAGAGGTAGAAGTACATGAAGATACGGCTGATGGTCAAGACGGGATCGACAATGACACGTTCGCCGGTTTTGAGGGTCTGGACCGACTGCTTGGAGCCGTTGACCTGCTCAGCAATCAAGGGGCTGATGGTGCTCTTGAACCAGCCCGTACCCACACCCATGATGATGATGGCGATAACGAAGCAAGCCATGGCGCCGTTCTGGTTGTCAAGGACCGTAGGAAGCGAAGAGACGATGAGGAGGACGTGTCCAACCATGGCGACGAAAACAGCGATGCAGATGGTCTTGAAACGACCCCAGCGGGTATCGGCGAGGTAGGCACCGAGGATGGGCATGAGATAGACCCAGAAAGTGTTGAAGGTGCTCAGACCGGTGGCGGCCTGCTGGCCTTCGTCGAGGGCACCCGACTGGCCGTTGGCGCCACCAGCACCGGTACGACTGTACGAGGGACGGGGCTGCTGGATGAAGTTCTGGAAGACCTGGACACATCCGTAGTACGAGAAACGCTCGGCCAGCTCGCAGAAAGCGATAGCGTAGGTGGTCCAGGGAAGCTTCTCGGGGACACGACGCAAAGTGGCGAGGTCCTCGTCGGTGGGAGCGATGAAGTCGTCGTTCGACTCGACGGCAACGCCGGACTCGAGGTGGGCGACGGGATGAGCGTCTTCCTTGCCACCGTGAGCCTTGACGTCGGCGACGTAGATGTCGCGCTGAGCCTCAGCGTGGCCAGCAATGGCGTTGTCTTGAATGTCGAGAGGCATGGTGAGGAGTGGCCACTCGGGGTTAGAGACAGGGGAAGGGATGGTGGTGGGAGGAGGGAAGAAGGGATGAGCTAACCCTAGGGACAATCTTATACGAGGAGGCAAAGAAGACAGACAGCGCGGATGAACGAGGAAGCAGGCGGACCGCCGCTTGAATGACAAACAGCCGGAAAGAGCGAGGAGATTGGACGAGGTTCTGCGCAGAAAGGGGACAAGGCCGCAGCTCCGATTGCGTTGGTTTCATCTCAGCTTTGATCCGCGGTGGGCGATTGGACCGTTCGTTCGCGGGCTTGATCTGAGCTTAATGCAGGTCCCACACTCTTCTCTCTTCTCACGGAAGACATCTCTTGTTCGGTAGCTCCGATAAGGACGAGGAGCGCGTTGGTCTCATGGTCGGTCGTGTGCCTGCGTCTCTGCGTTTTCGGATACCGCCGATAGCACGCCGGTCAGCAGAGGTATGGATCAGTACAAGCGAGTCGGCTGTTGCGCGAGGCTTTGCCACATGAGAAACATCGACCCTAGTTAGCCCAGAAGGCCACTGCAAAGCCCGAACAAGGGAGAACAACGGCGCAAAGCGAGCGAGGTTGTTTCAAGCCCAGGGTTGGCTTGGAGAGAGATACGAAAACACTTGTGTTGTGCGAGCCAAGCCTGTCACGCTGCTTGACAGCTGCACTCCGCCAGTCTCGTTCGCTTGGCAAAATGTTAATATTTTTCGGTCTTTGACTTAAGTTGTGCGTTTGGCGAGGTTGTCCGCTGATACGCACAGGCTTGAGTCGGATCGGCTATCCAAGCACAATGGCTACGAGCGAGTTCGAACGCCTAGTCTCATCAGCATGAATTCTGTTTCGCCATCGCTTCAGAGCAGGTCCATTCTATCTCGCACGCCATTGTGTGGCCACAGCATTGATGACGAAAAAGCTGATCATCTACTATCTGGGTTGAACGAGGGGCTGGAATGGGACGATGGCGTCAACTTTGAAAGCGTGTCCCCCTTCGACGACCGGACTCGAAAGGTTGCCAGGAAGCGAGTTCGGATGAGCCTTGTCCGTGTCGACCTCGAGAGAGCATGCATGCATCTGAACGCCTTTCCCCTTGTATCACCACGCTCTCGCTGCCCTTTGGCTCGTCTGTCTCCCCCCATCCATGATGCCCCGCACTTGCTTATCGGCGCATCACCTTGATCACAGCCGAAGGGTCGGTGAGAATGGATCAACGTGACCCCGCACTCAGACGCCAGAGACGAGTTCGTCGGTGTTACCGGTCTGTCCGATATCGAAAGTCGACGTAGCATGCTGAGTCTTTTGTACCCCCGTCCTTGCTTTTGCCGGTCAAGCTTTTGCGCGCTGCTACTGACCGACACCACCGACCTCGACTCGTGCTCTTCCTCGCTTCATCGGCTGTAAGTGGCCGAAAGCAAGCTTACACAGGCAATGTGATACTCTCAAAGCCGGGTGGGCAGACCGCTGTCATCTGTCAGCGACGTCCGAGTCTGATTGATGATCTGCAGCACAGCTGCAAGGAGCGGCTTTCGAAGGAATGACTGGCATTGAACAGGTTGACCGCCAAGAAACTCGCTTGTGCAAAGACACGCACAGAAGGCGTTCAACCACGGACCGCGTGAGTCGTGGGTCTGCGGCGGAACGACCGTTGGCCACAGGTTCGCATCACTGTCTTCCGAACGCTTTTGCTGCAGCTCGATTTTCTTTTTCGTGCTCCGCTCCCGCACCCGTCCGCAACCGCCGATTCAGCTGCCGCCCGTCTAGCCTGCAGACTTGTGTTCGTCGCGCTCTCTTGATCGTGCGCGAGTGAGTCCGCCCGAGTGTACAGCGCCTTCACCTAGCACTTGGTAGCGTTTGGGAAGCTGCTGTGAAGGGAGCCTTGTACGGTTTCAGCCGATTGCAATCCAATCTGTGCTGTGAACTGCGTCTAGCGTTTGTTTGTCACGCTTTCCGATGCGCCTCCCAGCCAATCACTTGCGGGAAACTCTCCGAGAAAAAAAGTTTTTTGCATTTCATGTTTCTACCGCTGCAGACGCGCGTCTGTGCAAATCTGGCAATTTCGAATTCTCCCATCTGGCATCGGTCATTCCGCCGTTTCATGCAAACAGCCACCGCTGGCGCTGGACTCAAGACCAAGCGCGTGGGGACTTTTCACTCACCAATGCAAGCTGCATACGCCTCAATAGGTATATGTCAGCCGACTGCTTTATCTAGGGTGGGAAGTCATGAGGGCCGTGGAAAGTGTGCAGGGATAGATTCAGGAGCGTCCCCTACTGCGAAAAGGGGCCATCATCTTCGCAGGATGATCGGATAGCCGGGCTGATACCCGGTCCAGAAACAACGAGCTGACCTTCTTACGGATTGTCCGCTTTGTCACACAGCACAGAACTTGACCCGCGCGAATCATCGTCAGCAATCGGAAGCAGCATCGGACCGTCGTCTGCGATGATTGGCTGCGCGCAGAAGCGGACCATACGAACCGGTCTCGACCTCGATCTGACCAGTCCGACTGCTCATTGGTGGGCTAGGTCACCGATGCACGTCTTTTCTGTCAACGTCCATCACCGTCAAACCACTCAAATTAAGAGGTACGCTCCACCATTGGCTGGCGATCCATTGCCACGAGGTCGAGACTCGAAACGATGGCGTGATTGAGTCGGTCTTGTCCAGCTCGACCTAGATGGTGGAGCCAATCAGTCTTGACGACTATCGACGATCATCAGCTGGGCTCTCCGTCGAGATGTCGTTGCGCAGATCTTTCTGATGGGAAGATGCTTTGAAAATGGTCGGCCAGATGTCCGGTTTAACAAAAGTTGGGAAATTCAGGTCATCGGGTCTAAGTCGAATCTTGATCAGATATGCATGCACAGGCCACGAGACGCCTCCGCCTGAAACCCTGAACGACGCCAAGTTCTTCTTGCAGCTCGATTCTTTCCAACACCAACACAAACGAGCCTCGCTCGCCTCGACACTGTCCGGCCACCCACAAGCGTCATCGACATGACCGCGACTCAGCCCGACGGGCTTGGCCTGCTATCACCAGGTCCATCAACCAGATTTGCTGCCAACGATGTCGCAGGCCCCTCGTCAGCTTCATCCGCGACGCGACCGTTGGCAACACGAGTCCGTTCCGTGCTGCTGCAAGGGCCCAGCGACGGCAAGGACATCCGCAGAGCGCTCGACACCCTTGCAGAGATGTATCCGGCCGCCTCAAGCTCAAGCTCCGGCTCCTCCACCCAGACCGCACAACGAGACACCAATCTCCGCAGGCCACCAGCCAAGCCACCAACCAGCTCCTCTTCTGACCCTCTCCACCTCGTCGACACCGCTCGGGCCCGTCGCGACCTCGAAGGCGACATCCAATCACGCATGCTCAATGCGACAGATGACATCATTCGTGTTCTCCAGACCGTCGACGACGGCCTAGTTCGCCTTTCATCCGACGTTGCTGCGATGCACACTTCCTGCAACACCGTCCAAGACAAGCTACGCGCAGCAGAAGAATCTAGTCGCTACCTCGTCGAACATGCCGAGGGTCTCGAGCGACAGCGAGCAGCTGCACTGACGCAGGTCGAAGTGGCCAACCTCTTCCTCTCGCGCTTCACTCTTTCTGAGGCCGAGCGCGCCTCGATCTACTCTCGCGAAGTGCGCGTGGCTCAGGATCTATTCGGGGCCATGGACAAGCTGCAGCGCATACGTAGCGAGTGTCAGGTTCTTCTTCAAGGGTCCGAGTCTGCGCCTGCGTCCGGGTCGACGGCCAGTGCGGGCGGAGGCACTCGCGCAGGGATGGACATCATGAAATCCACCGCCGATGATCTCGATCAAGCCTACCAGAAGCTATACAAGTGGTGCTCTTTCGAGTTCCGTCAACCTGTCAAGGAAGGTCTCGAAGTATCACCCAGTCTCCGCGAGGCGACGAGTCGACTCAAACACGCACGTCAAGACCTGTTGCGGAGCGCACTCACCACGCTGGTCCAAACGCGCAGCTCCATCCTCGCCAACGCCTTCATGGCGGCGCTGACGATGGGTGCGGGACCACCGACGTATTTGCCGGGACCGATCGAGCTGCACGCGCACGATCCGACACGGTACGTAGGTGACATGCTCGCCTGGATCCACCAGACCGTGGCGTCGGAGCGCGAGTTCCTCACCGCCCTGTTTGACGAGAAGGAGGGTGAAGGCGGTCGACGCACCGGTCAACGACGTCGTGGGCTAGAGGGCTCATTGGACCTCACAGGATCTGATCCGGACTCGTTACGCCTCGGCCCTGGCGAAGCGCTCGTCCGCGAAGTGTTGAACTCGAACCTCGACGGCTGCTGTCGCCCACTCAATCTGCGCATTCAGCAAACCCTTCGCTCACAAGAAGGCAGCGTAACATCCTACCGTCTCGCCCACCTCGTTCAATTCTACCGCTCGATCATGGCTAAAACCATCGGCTCGCGCGCTAGCCTCAGCAAGACCCTGGGCGAGCTCTCCGATTTGGCGGTGAGCGCGTTTGCCGACACGGTCGAGCGGCAGAAGCGCGGGATCGAGCGGTACGATGGCGCACCGGAAACGGATCTCTCGCTCCCGCCGCCGCTCGTTGCGGGAATCAGCACGGTCAAAGAGCTCATGGGCGAATTCTCACGGTCGCTACCTGAAGACGTCCCGCACAGCGAACCACAGCCCCCAACAGAGCCGTCGAAGGTAGCCGCGTCTTTGAGCAACTTCGACTTTGTGCTGATCAACCTCGTGGACCCGCTGATCGCGTTGGTAGAACGCATGGCGGGGGTGCACATCTCCAAACGGCCCCGCTCGCGCTCCGAAGAGATGGCGCGGTGGGAAGCGCGTATCTTCACCTGCAACTGTCTTGAAGCGCTCAGCTCGACTCTCGACAAGCATCCCTTCGCCTCATGGAAGGCGGGTCAGCTGCACAGCTCACTCGAGCGCACGCTGGGAGAGCTGACAGAGGAACACGCGGTCAACCTTCTGCAGCGCTCCGGCCTGGCAACTGTTCTCACAGCCATGAAGGCAAGGAAGGAGGGGACGAAGCTGTCAAGCGTACCTGGAGCGAGGGGTGCAGAGGTGCTGGGGGCGCTGACGACGTTCGAGCAGTGTCTGGCGCAGGAAGATCTGCTCACGTCAAGGAATCTGGCAAGGCTGGCTAGCCCAGCGGCTAGACACAGGGTGCATATTGCGGGTCTGCAACGCATGACACAGTCGTATCGAGACATCGTGGAGGCCGTACAGGACAGGACGAATGGGTACGAGGACGGCTTGGTCAAGACGACCCCCGAGCACGTGGGCATTCTGCTCGGTCTCTAATCGCACCGCTTCTCTTAGCATGCGATCATCTGTGTGTGAACGTATTGTCATTTGCGTCAGAACAGCTTCGTCCCAATCCATGCAGTCCCCACCGCGGTCGCCGCAGAGGCGACAAAGTTGACCGCGTTGTTACTGAGCACGTTCCACCCTGTGACGCTGACCCACGTCGCGTTGGGCTCATCCTGCTTCTTGCCATCCAGCACATCAATCACCTGGCCGACGAGGACCTTTTTGCTGCTCGGATTGTACAGCGTCTGCTGAAGTGTTGCGCCTAGCACGCTGTCCAGCAGTGATCCCGCAAGCCCGGCCGCGGTGAGCAGCGCAACCAGCTTTGCGTGCCCCTCGACGTTGAGGTCAGAATGCGTGGTGAGGAGGGAGAGGCTCATCGTCACCCCAATCAGTGTGCCTCCTAGCGCCGAGACCACCAAGCCGAGTGGAGAGACGCCACCATTCGTCCCCTTGGGCACCCTCCTCCACGGGCTAGTGACCAACCTCGGTTCGGCGGTTGAAAGGATGCCGAGTTCGGAAGCGAACGTATCACCCATGCACGCAGCATAATGTCCACCCACCACCAGCGTCAGCATCAGGTTCGACAGCTCCACCCTTCGCCCTGCCACCTCCAGCACCCTTACCGCGTTCGAGAGCGGGTCTACCACGTCTCTGCCCTCGTTGAGATATCGGAATGCTAGACATGCGACGACGGCGGTGAAGCTGTTGCACAGCACCTGCCACGCGGATCGGTTGCCCGAGGTCGTATCCCTCTTCTTTCCGTTTTCCGCCGGGGTCGGTGCGGGAGGTTCGATGGCGTGCGTCTCGAGAGACTCCTTGATCTGCGCTTTGAACTTTGTCGCTCGCGATCCGGCAAGGTAGAAGGTGATGAGCGTCAACCCGAACCCCACGAACGGGTTGGCCATGGACGCGTAGCCCACGAGACCGGCCGTGATGGCTCCATCGAGGGAGAGCGAGCCTTTGCGGTAACCAGAGAAGCCGAGGTAGCCGGCGATGCCGAGGGGTATCGGGTAGAGTTGTGGCATGATGGCGGCGGGCTTACCCCTGATCGCGTTCGAGGGGAAGCAAGTCGGAGCAGGAGGTGGAAGCGAAGGATGGGAAGTGGAGCGAGCGAGACCCTTGAAGACTTGGTCGGGTCTGTGCGTGTGGGCGATCGGGACTGCAATTGTTGCCCGATTTCAGACTAAGCCTGGAATACTCCTCTGTACGATCCTACGGCTCTTCGACGGCGACTCGAGTATCCCTTGCAGGTCAGTCTAAGTGCTCTTCGCAGCCAGAGACCTCTCAGGAGGCTGAAATTTCGTGCAAGGCGGACATGTGCGCATGGAATGATGATTTTGGTCGTTTGCGTTCAAAGTAAAAGTACATCTGGGATCCTCTAGCAGCTCTTACGCCGGCAATCTCAGCAGCCGCATATGCTTGTGAAAACCAACATAACCATTGAGAGTGGTCCCTCTACAACATCCTGCGCTTCTTCGGCCTGACACCTCCGATCTTGACCGGCGTCTTATCGGTCATCTTGCTGATCAGATTCTTGGTCGCCTGACCCTCACCAGCCAACATGGCCCTATACACTGCCTCCCTTCCCTGTCCGAACCCGTTCCAAAGCACCTCCAAGTGCTGGATCCGCCATGCATCCTTGAACTCGTTGATCTTGCCAAACATGGAGAACGCCGCACGGTAGCCAGCCTCGTAACCGGAGCGGGCGGACTTTTTGAAGCCCACACTGCCACCTGAGGCGGAGGCGAGCGGGTCGCCAGAGGGAGAGGTGAGGGTGAGGATGGTGTTGTTACGCGAAGAGTTGACGAAGAGGCGATGAGGAAGGGCGGAGGAGGATTGGAAGAGGGTCGAGGAGTAGCGCGAGGCTGCAGAACCGCGGACGATGGGGGAAGCGCGGTCGCGGAACGAGGAGGATGCGGAGGCTTCGTCGGCAGCGGCAGCTTCAGAGCCAGGGAGGGACGATACCGCATCGAGGGAGCCAAGAATGTCGTCGAGGTTGGTGGGCGCTGCTGGCCTGCCTGCGCTCGTTGCGGTGGAAGCAGCCGACTCGGCTTCAGCTTGGGCGGAGAGCTCGCGCTGCTGAGCATCGGATACATTGTTGCTGCCTGCCGAGGTGGGGTCGGAAGTAGGCTGTCCTGATGTCTGTGCCTCGAGCTGCTGTGTGATTGCCGACTTGTCCTCCTCGCTGTTGAATCGTAATGACGACGATGAGAATTGGCGGATGACGGAGCCAGACGGTTGCATTTGACGAGCCGCGGATGAGCCTGATGCGACTGCGCGCATGGCTTTTGGCGCCCATGAGCTTGCGAGTCGTTGAAGCATTGTTGCTATGGTGTGCGAATAGGGATAGTGGGTGATCAATGGTGGTCGATGTCGACGAGCAAGTCGATGAGTGTTGCTGATGAGAAGGATTCGAGCTTTCTTCTCGGCTTTGCCTGTCGAGCTTTTCCTCATCGTTCGTAGTCACGCTGACATAATGAGAATCAGTTACATGTTAAGACACAACTCGACTCCAGCACCAATTTTGAACTTCCAAGTGTTGGGCACTTGGCCAGTGTGTTCCTAAAATGGAAGTTGGCGAGCTGTCAAACAAAGCGAGCCCCTGTCTCTATCCAAACACCACCTTGGCCTTTCAACTCGCATCCTGCCTGGCACTTCAACACGAGCCAATTGCGTTGCTTCGATCAGCGAGTATCAGGGAGCCTTACCGATGATAAAGCAGAAGCAGTCGCTTGGACGAGCAAAGATGAAGGTCAAGGCGTTTAGAGGCCCCCAAAGTACCCAAGCACTAAAAAGTTAGAAGAGCATCTACCTGCGGCGTCTTTTTGGTCGTCATGCGCCGCTGCACAGACGACGGCGAAATTCGACTCCGCCCCCTTTCATCCCGGTCCACCCTTCCCAACCCACCTGCAACACTACGTTGGCTGAACGAGTCTATGGACTCAGAACGCGTGTTCTCTGCTTCTCATGAAGACCGTTGCCAATTTGCATTCCATCTCATCTCACTTCCACCACCATCATTGTCACAGCATCTCGCACGTTGAGACCTCTGTACGATGGCCGATCGCTACACCGCTTCTCCTTATCGGAGCAGCAGGCAATACAACGCTGCCCCCGCATCCTCTTCCTCGCACCATCATGGCGCATACAACGACAACATTGACGTCGACACCGTCGACTACGACGATACGGGCGTTCCCGCTCCTCACCATCTTGCCACTTCTCACTCGGTCTCACCCTACCCAGCCCCTCTTGTAGCACCTACGCCGCTCTCGCCTGCACGACGACATCTGAACGAGATGCAAGAGCTGCACGCCGCCCCTTCCGGCTACGTCTCCCAATCTCCCTTCCGCTCTTCGCTGGCCCTTTCACCAGACACGATCCGTGGAGGCTATCTTCCGACCTTTGACAGTCACGACACGCTCTACTACCAGAACGAGCCCAAATTTGGGCAGTACGACGACGATGGTGCCTCGACTTACTACTCGCACCGCGATTCTGGAGACGCTTGGGCCATGGAGGACGCTGAACACCAGGGTGCGCACGACTCGCTCGCTCAGTCTCGCGACCGCTACATTAAGCGCAAGTCCGCTGCACTCGCGGCTACCGAGTCGGCCTACAACTTGGCACCGCCGAAACCGGCCCGCTTTCCCTTCCTCGCCGCCCTCGCTCCGCACAAAAAATACCTCATCGCGGCGGGCTCCATCCTTGCCGCCATCGTCTTTGCCGTCATCATCTTCTTCGCCACTCGTCACAACACTAACGCGACCATCGTCGACGGCCCCTTGACCAACAGCGGTCCCTCGGGCAATCCGACAGCTGGCGTGGTCAAGTCGGACAAGTCGGACCCGAGCAAGTTCGACAAGGATCCCCGCTTGCACCACTCGATGTACGGAATCTGCTACACGCCCTTCCATGCGCAGTATCCTTCGTGCGGCGCGACACAGAGCAATGTCACGGAGGACATTCAGCTTCTCTCCCAGCTGACATCGCGTGTCCGACTGTACGGCTCGGACTGTCAGACCTCCCAGATGGTGCTTGAGGCGATCAAGCAGACCAAGGTCGACATGACCGTCTTCCTCGCCGTATGGATCGACGACAACGCCGACACGGTCCAGCGTCAGATCGACAACGTCGTCGATGCAGTCAAGACCTACGGCACGGACCACATTGCCGGCATCACAGTCGGCAACGAGTACCTTCTCAATGGTGGAAGTGTCACCACTCTCCTCGCTCACATCGCTGCTGTAAACACTACTGTCAACGCTCTCCCCAACCTCGGCAAGTACATCCCCATCGGCACGGCTGATGCAGGCAGCATGGTCTCGACTCAGCTTGCCACTGGAGCAGACTACGTGATGGCCAACGTGCACCCGTGGTTCGGCGGTCTCCCCGTCGACCAAGCCGCCGGATGGATCTACGAGTACACCAACACCAACGAGCCCTCCACCGCGCTGCTCGCGCCCAACAAGCCTACGCTCTACGTCGCCGAAGCCGGCTGGCCCACCGGCGCCAACCAGACCAGCCTCATGACCTACCAGGGTGCCACGGCGGGCATTGCTGAGCTCAACACGTTCCTCCAGACCTTTGTCTGTCAGTCCAACGCCAACTTTACGCAGAGCGCCCTCCAGCCCAGCTTTATTTTCGAGGCCTTCGACGAGCCGTGGAAGGACGTGCTGTACGGAGGCGTCGAGGCTCACTGGGGCCTGTTCGATGCGAACAAGAAGCTCAAGGATGGTCTTGTCATTCCGGATTGCGCTGCGCCTTAACCACGGACCCTTCGCCACACGCAACCCAATCTTCAGCGCTTCGGTCTGCTCTCGATTTCTGTATATCACCTGCACTTCAGAACAATACATTGATTGCCTTTCTCACGTTCACAGGTGCTGCTGTCTGTGCGAAAAGTGGTAAAAGCACGACCACTCAGCCATGCTTCCTCCTCGCCCTGTCCCTAGGCTGTCTAAAGATAGCTTCGTCGATCTTGTCGCCGCCCTTCTTTCCGTGGTCCTTGCCCTGTTGCTGCTTCTTCTTGTCTCCCCCCTTCGGTCTATCCTCCTTCTTCGGCGCCGGAGACTGGAACGCGTCTCCGGTAGCGGAAAAGTCGAATTCGCCGTCAAACTTCTCCTTCCGCTTCTTAGGCTGGGGCGCGACAGCATCGGTGCGTGCTTCCGCCTTGCGCTTCTTCTTGAGCTCCTTCTTGGATGGCATTGATTCGTCTTGCGGTGTAGAGTGACCCTGAGCCGTGGACTTGGGCTTCTTGGGCTTGGACTTGAATGCGGTGGAGACGACGATGTAGTCTTCCTTCTCCGAGGCGTCGTCGTCCTCTTCCACATGTTCTGCCGAGGCTGGAGCTGTAGCCGCGTCGTCGACAGCGACTGGCTCTGCTGGCATAGGTGTGGAGGTGGTGCTTTCCTGCTGCATAGGAACATCGTCGGCATCATCGAATCCATGCGACGGCGCCGTACTGCCAAAGAGACTGCCAACTTGACTGATGAATCCAGCTTTGACGGCGTCGAGCTTGGCTGCTGCCTTGTTCGTGCGGTTGCCGGTCGCCGAGGTACCGAAAAGCTTTGATGAGGTCGAGCTGAGCGTCGACTTGGGAGCAGCGGGAGCTTTCGATTGTCCGAACAAGTTCGATGCGAACGATCGCACCGCACCACCCAACGTAAGTCGCGAAGCAGCGGTTGCTGGTGCAGCAGATGTGTCGGACCAGACGGAAGCATCGACTGCTGGCTGTGCGCCTGCGGCCTGACTGATGGCTGAGATGGATGTCTGAGTCGCCGAGGTGGGCTCCGGATGCTTCTTCGCTGCAACGGTCGGTGTGCCTCGAGCGACAGACTCCCCGACATCCATCTCGTTGTCTTGACTGCCGTTCAGCAAAGCCTGTGAGAGCTTTTGCTTCTTCTCCTCGGTCCGCTTCTCCTGATCCTTCTCCCACGCGCTTGCCTCCGCTTGGGTCAGCTTGACCAGCTCCTCCACCCTCTTCTTCAGTCCTGTAGCGTTGGGCGGGATGCAGGCGAGCACACCTTCCTTGGTGGTTGGCGCCCTCGTTGCCAGCATCATGAGGTTGCTTGCGCCCAAAATATACCTAGGCGACTCGTCCTCCTCCCTTGCCACACCGTCCCTCCATTGATGCAATGCTCGCACCAGTCGCTCCTCCTTCTTCATCTCGCTCAGCTCCTGTCGGTCCTCGGTGCCGAGAGCAGCTTCGCCGCCCCACTTTCGCCAGACGCTGCGCCAGCCTTCGCGGGTCTCGCCTTCGCTGTCCCACTCCTCCTTGGCGTAGGTCGCCATTGCCACATCCTTGCTGCGCTCGAACACCTCTCGGATGCCGTTGACGCCGCCTGCTTCCATGAGCTCGTGGCGCAAGTTGTCGTAGATGTAAAGCAGTGTGTGTGTGTCGCTCCTTGCGTAATAGAGCATCTCTTTCGGCAGAGGTCGAATCCTCCAGTCTGCCAGCTGATACCGCTTGTCGGCGTCAAAGTTGCAGTACCGCGCCATCAGGTAGTTCAAGCCGTGACTGGGAAACAACAGCACGTTGGTGGCGTGATACGTGTCGAATAGGTTGACGAGGTACAGTCCGAGATCGCGCTGCAACCACAAGACGTCGTGGTTGGCACCGTGGAGCACCTTGACTTTGGCAGGGTTGGTAAACGACGAGTTGAGCATCTCAGCGTGCTGTCGAACCTCATCTGAGATGGTGTCGATGATCCAGTCGCCCCATCGTGTCGAGAGCTGCATGAGACAAACGATGCCCTGGTAGGTGCGGTAGGAATGATGTTCGAGGTCGATGGCAATCTCCTGAACACGGTCTTCGTCCAGGTGATCGCGAAGCTGTTCGATTTGCTGCTTGGTCGAGACCCATTGGAAGGGGCACGCGTCGGTCGATAGTGAAGGCTCCTTCTCGTTGAGTGGTGGTGGCGGGTTGTCCTTCTGGCTGGGGTCTGGCTTTGAGAGGGCGTGTGTTGGCGGTTCCGAATGCGAAATCTCGTGGTAGTAAGGATTGTCGAGAGGATCTCCCTCGGCGCAGTACATGCCTCTCCTTGGTCCACGCGGCAGAGGGTTGCCGTCTGCACCCATGCGTGGCGGGTTGATATGCCCGAGCGGAACCTTTGCGTTTGGCTTTCCGAGCTTGAGTCTAGGCTGCCAAAGCGTGTCTGCCGAGTTGTCTGCTTTGATCGTGAAATTCTTCTGTGGTGGCGGGATAGGTGCGTTGAGGACCCAGGAAGGAAGGTTGCCTGTCTTGGGCAGTGCTTTGCCATTCTGAACTGCGGTCATAGCCTGCATTCTCGCACCTGCTCCTTGCTCCCCAGTGGCACTCGCCGCATTCTCGTCGTTTGCTGCTGCGACTTTGCGTGGCGCCAGCTTGCCCGTGTATTCGTCGAGGCAAGTGTCGGCGCTCTCGAGAAGGTGATCTACGAGCTCACCGAGGTTGGAAGCGAAGCTTTCGTTGGTCGTCACATCCGCCAGATCGAGGTCCATTTCCACGCTGCCTTTCGCTTTCTTAGTCGAGCTGGTGCCGCTTCCCTTGGCGAGAGGGATCTTCGGTGCGCGCGAGTCGGATGCGATCCATCCCGAAAGCTGCGAGATGGATTGAAGTATGCGATCTGACTCCGTATCGAGCTTCTTTGCGAGCTTGCGATCCATGCTGCGGTGGAATGCGAGGTCGCCGTGGCTAGGGATCGCCGCCGCATGGCGAGTGAGAGGCTGCAAAGCTGACTGCAGCTTCAACAGATATGCCGGGAGGTCTGTCTTCGGATCTGGTAGCGCCGAAGATGATGGTTCTGGTGTTGATGCGGCTGATGTTGCGGCCGAGGAAGAGCCCGAGGGTGCCGCAGCTAGAGCCGTATTGGCCGATGCCGCCTTTGACGGCTTCGACGAGCCAAGCTTGTCTTTCGCTCCCGCCATGATGATGTTGTCAGGTGACCGTGCTGCTTTCGATGAGCTGAGCAGCAGCAGTGATGGTGGTGAAAGACGTTGCTCGCCATCATCAACTTGATCCGACTCAGCCCTTTTCTCGAGAAATCTTCTTGAAAAATCCTAAATTTTTGGCGCTTGTGCAGTGGAGGCGAATTTCTTGCAGCGTCGAACCCTCGGTCTAACACAAAGAGAAATAGCCATTTACGCGAGTCGCGTGTCTGAGTCTTAACTTAACCAACACCGCGCTTTGCTCCTTCTTCTCCTCGTCCTCGTCCTACTTGCTACGCAGCATCATCCTGCAATAATGCCGCCAAAGAAGAAGTCAACCGCACCACCTGCGAAGAGGCAAAAGCGAGCTGTAGTGTCAGACGACGAAGATGACATTCAGCAAGACGACGTCTCCCAAGCTATCGTAGCTCCACCTCCTCCCATCCCGTCCGAGCCCCTCGGTCCCATCGCGCAGTCCTACACGTACGCCTCCGATATCCCCTCCGAATGCAGCAAGATCGATCCTTCCAATCCGAGCATCAAGGTCCCTTGCGTCCTTGGTGTGGACGAAGCAGGCCGTGGCCCCGTCCTTGGCCCTCTCGTGTACGGCATCGCCTACTGCCCTGTCTCGTACCAGGACTCGCTCAAGGAGATCGGCTTTGCGGACTCCAAAGCCCTTACTGCCGAGCGTCGTGATCACCTCCTCGCCGCGCTCATCGATGACAGTGCACATCTCGGGTGGGCGGTCCGCGTCATGTCGCCGCAGGACATCAGCGCTGGCATGCTGCGGCGGAGACCAGTGAACCTCAATGCACAGTCGAGCCAGGCGACGGTGGGTCTCATTGCGGGCGTGTTGGAGAGCGGTGTCGACGTGACCGAGATCTACGTCGACACGGTGGGCGACCCGAAGAGCTACTCGAGGCTACTCAGCTCGCACTTCCCGCGACACCCGCATATCAAGTGGACCGTCACGAGCAAGGCCGATGCCATCTACCCCATTGTCGGCGCGGCGAGTATCGCGGCAAAGGTAACAAGAGATCGATGTGTCGAGGGGTGGAAGTATGCCGAGCAGCGACAGCAGGTGCCGAGCTCGAAAGCTGCTGGCGATGAAGAGGTCAAGGTGTTAGGCGATGCGACAAATCACACGCCATCGCATTTGGGTTCAGCCGCGGAAACCAAGAAGCGCAAAGCGGAGGTTGAATCGGTACCACAATCCACGCAGAATGTCGACACCGTCTGGTCCAGCATGGGCTCGCTAGGCAGTGGCTATCCAGGCGATCCCAATACTGTCGCGTATCTCAAACGCAACCTCGACCCGGTCTTTGGCTGGCCTGGTCTAGTGCGTTTCAGCTGGGCAACGGCGAAAACCATGCTCGAGGAGAAAGTCAAGCCCCCGTCGTCCACCGCGGGCAAAGTCACAGCCTCTGCTGCAGATGCTACTCCAGCGTCACTCGGAGGCAAGCGTCTCACTCGCTCGCTCTCGCGGACGTCGTCATTCAACTCTGAAGTCGAAGCGCCCACCACATCAGAGTCAGAGCCCATCATTGCATCTACACGGCCAACAAGCATCTACGGCACCTACCTCCCCGCGCCCTCGGTACCCGGCGGCACCGCTCCCCGCGGCTACAAAGTCAAGTGGATCGACGAACCCGTGTCCATCTCCAAATTCTTCGGTCCCACATCCACCAAGAAGCCCGCCACCGCTCCCACCAGCACTGCCTCAACATCCGTAGACTCGACAGACGCATTCCACGTCTCAGCACTGCAAGCAACGATCAACGACTGGCTCAAGCGCGAGCCGTCCTCTGCCGCCAAGACCGCCGCTGCCGTCCCCGGCGACATCGGCCAGATCCACATCGCCGTCTCAAAACTCACCAAGGATCTCAGCCTCGTCAGTGGCGATGCCACCTTCATCCTCTGACTCTTTACACTATCGCCGACTGGTGCAATGTATACCATTCAAATAAGTCCCTGCCTCTTGAGCAGATCGTACGTCTTCTTGGTATACGTATTGCCATGTTCGTCCTCGACCTCCTGAGCATCAACGCCCGCCTCGCTCGCTTCCACCTTGCTCTGCTTGCGCAACCTCTCGGCCAACCCGAGCGCATCTGCGATCCTCGTCACATCCCGGAACTGGACCGTGTTTGGCAGACCTAGGGCTTTCATCCCAAACGCATGCCGCGACTCCGTAAAGTGCTTCTCGAAGTTCTTCCTCCCGTGATAGACGGCGTCGGAACAGATCTCGCACTTGAACTCGTTCCGCAGACCATGCAGCTTGTAGAGCCAGAAGGGGATCGGTCGACCGTCCCATCCGATGGGCAGCTTGAGCGGGTTGTAGACGCGGGAGGTTGCGTCGTCGTCTTCGTCCATGTCTGCGGAGGGCTCGTCGGTGTCCAACCCAGAAGTGGGGTTGAGAGCGGTCATGCGGTTCAGCTCGTTTTCGGCAGCCTCGGCTTCCGCTTGCCTCTCGCGATCGGTCAGCGCGGCCTTGCGCTCCACGTTGGACTTTGTATCGGCCCGAATGGTGGGTAAGTCGGAGGCGAGCGCGCGGATGATAGCCTCCTCTCGCGCAATGGCTTTGGAGCGAACACGAGCCTTGATGCGCTCCGCCTCGTTCTGGTTGTTGTTGCTGCTGGAGGGCGTAGACGTCTCGCCGCCGTTCGCCTCGGACTGTGCTAGCCGAGCAGCTGCCTTGAGATGCTTGGGCGACTTGAGATGCGCATCGTAGACCGTCTGCTTCGAGTAGAATCTGCGGCATGCTGGACACCAGATCCCTTCGCCTTCCCCTTGCGTCGATGCCTGTGCTGCTTTGCCCTTCCCCTGCGCGCCACCAAACACTCCAGTACCTTGCTCCTCCCATCCTTGCACCTGACCTTGCTCCCAAGCTTCATCGAACTCGCTCGTCGCCTTTGCCGAGATCTCATCGACGTTCGCCAGCGGCTGCGTCTTCCTCAGGAAGCTGTCGAGGTACTTCCTCAGATCCAGCAGATACGCGCGGTATGCGTCCGTCTTTTTGGTGTGGTTCGGAATGAGCGAGGATGGTCCTGCGAGCTTGTCAAAGTCATCGATGTAGGACAGGTACGAGATGCGCTTGGCGCCCTTCAGGTTGAGATGAGCTTCGTGGTGAAGGTAGAGGTCTAGGAATCGACCAGCCATCTCTTCGCCAGAGAACATGCGGTCGATGAAGTCGAGGCCTGATGCATCCAAGTATCCCGCTGTTGCTGATGCCGAGGTTGCTGCCTGGTCTGATGGGGCAGCTGACGAGCTAGTTCCAGTCTCGAGCGCTGTGAAGTCGATCGAGAAGTTGTCGGGCAATGCGCCAGGATAGCGGTCATGATACTCGCGGATGCGTCCTAGTCGATCATAGAACTCGCCAAAAGCATCATCACCGCGAGTGGAAGAGAGCGCCTCAAGCTCGCGCTGGCGATCTCCATGCTGATCTGCATAGAAGCGGTCGAGGTACTGGTAGCGAGAGGCAACGCGGTCGAGCAGGTCAGACGCCTTGTGAGCGCGTTTGAGCTTGTCCTTGTGTGTGAGGCCCGAGGAGGAAGAAGACAAGAGGAGGTCGACGAGGGCCTGCTGGTATCGCTCAGCTTCTTCGTGTGTCTGACGCGCCACTTCGATCAGTGATGTGTCCGCCATCGTGGGAAGCTGGCTGCCGTACCTAGCTATGATCCTTGTGATGATGCGAAGGTGGTTGAAAAGAACGACTGAGCAGGGTCCTCATCAAAGCCCTTTGCTGCGCTGCCAAATTCCGTCTTCCGAAGTCGCAGTCACGTGCATTGAAATTTTGGTGGATCTTCTAGTGGAGCTCCACATCTTGCTCGCCCTCCTGCTTCATCTTCAACCACCACCGTGAGCAACCACCCATATACCCGCACATACTCGCCGTGAACGGTGACATTACAGTGCAATCATGTCGGGCGGCGTCAACGCAGGCGACAGCAAGCTCGTCTTTGAGAGCTCCGAGACCGTCAAAGTTGCGCCCACCTTCGATGCCATGGGTCTGAAAGAAGACCTTCTTCGCGGCATCTACGCATACAACTTCGAAAAGCCTTCTGCCATCCAGCAACGAGCGATCCTACCCATCATCCGTGGTCGCGATGTCATCGCCCAGGCGCAGTCCGGAACGGGTAAGACGGCCACCTTCAGCATCTCGATGCTCCAGTCCATCGACACGACGTTGCGCGAAACCCAAGCGCTGGTGCTCAGTCCAACTCGCGAGCTGGCGATTCAGATCCAGTCCGTGGTGCTCGCACTGGGCGATTACCTCAATGTCCAATGCCACGCCTGCATTGGCGGCACCAGTGTCGGAGAGGACATTCGCAAGCTCGACTACGGCCAACACATCGTCTCCGGCACTCCCGGTCGCGTATACGACATGATTCGCCGTCGTCACCTTCGCACCAAGAACATCAAGATGCTCATCCTCGACGAGTCCGATGAGCTCCTCAACATGGGCTTCAAAGATCAGATCTACGATGTCTACCGCTACCTTCCACCCTCGACCCAAGTCGTGCTGCTCTCCGCCACCCTACCACAAGACGTGCTCGAGATGACCTCCAAATTCATGACCGACCCCGTGCGCATCCTTGTCAAGCGTGACGAGCTCACACTCGAAGGCATCAAGCAATTTTTCGTAGCGGTCGAAAAGGAAGAATGGAAGTTCGACACCCTCTGCGACCTCTACGATACACTTACCATCACGCAGGCGGTGATCTTCTGCAACACGCGTCGGAAGGTCGATTGGCTCTCCGGCAAGATGAAGGAGAACAACTTCCAGGTGAGCAGCATGCACGGTGAGATGCAGCAGAAGGAGCGAGATGAAGTCATGGCCGAGTTCCGACAGGGCAGTTCGCGGGTGTTGATCACCACCGATGTTTGGGCGAGAGGCATCGACATTGCGAATATCTCGCTCGTCATCAACTATGATCTGCCGACAAATAGGGAGAACTACATCCATAGGATCGGCAGGAGTGGAAGATTCGGCAGGAAGGGCGTCGCCATCAACTTTGTCACCGTGGAGGATGTGAGGACGTTGAGAGACATCGAACAGTTCTACTCGACACAGATCGACGAGATGCCCGTCAAGTTGGAGGACATGTTGTAGGGCCACATTCACGAAAAGCTCTGCGACTGCGCAGATTGTACTTTTAGGCTGCACCTTTCGTCTTTCAGAATGAAAGGTTGAGCTTTGCTGTTCGCTGGCAGGGTTGCGGTGGGTGTAAGCAGAGACCTTGAGATTAAACGTCACCATACGTTGCTGTTTCCCTTGAGATCGCCTCCAACGATCTCTGCCACCTCATTGGACGCCACCTCGTCAGCCAATCGCCGCACATGAAGAACATCAGATCTCGCACTCATTAAATTGCTCACGGGCAAGTTCCTGTCGCCATCCCACACCGCTTCACGGCATTTCATGAAGCGTCACCACCGCGGCGTGAACGTCACCGCTATCGCGTTGAGCGTGGAGGAACCCCCGCTCCTAGCGCCGCTTGCGCAGCGGCACCAACACTTTCATTCCATCACGATGGGGTCGGCAGCCCCGTCCATCAGCCTCTCCACTCACTGCACTACTCCAACGAGGCATTTACCACCGCTCGATCCACACCAAGTCCCTCGATCCCCTCCATTCAGCAATGCATCTCTTTCGCCCTCGACTCGTGCTCGTCGCCCTGGCGAGCAGCACCCTCGCCCGCCCCGCCCCTCCCAATCCAGCCGAGGGCTCCTTTTGGGCGATGCTGTCACACGTGGCTCGCAGCGACACCGACGCCTTCCTAGCGAGCCGCTTTCCGCATGTTCCAGTTGAGCAGCGTGCGCGCATCGGCGATGTTCCTTCGAATCTCTGGGTATGTATCCCCCTCCCCTCTCTCACACTTCTCCCTCACTTGCCCTCTGTTGCCCTCTGTTGCCCTCTGTTGCCCCTCACTGACACACCTTTCTGAGCGATAGGGTCTAGTTCAAGGCACGGACGCCTCCGGGCGGCTCATCCTGCCCACCCCACCGCCGGGACACGTTCTTCTGCTCACCACAAGCGTGCCTCCGACCCACACTGTGTCGAATCCCGCTTATCTCCTGCGCGGCAGACCGGGAAAGTCCACCGTGCGCGGTCTCGGTCTACTCACTCTACCCGATGGCACGCAGCGCACGTTTCGCACAGTAGCATTCGACCCTCTTCCCTCTTCAGCCGGGCCGTTGCAAGGGGGTGTCGTTGATCGAACGCACCATGTGCCCCCGCGCAGCTTCGACGCGGGACTGTTCGGGGCGAGAAAGCTCACTGTCTCTCACGAAGGCAGGACCATGTGGAGACCAAAGGACAAAGTCATGCTGGCACACGTATCCGTCCTGCCACTGGACGGACCGGGAGAACGGGAGATGAGGGTGTATCCAGACGCAATTCTGCGCGAGGTGCTCGCCGGACCCTCAGGAAGGCATGCGGGACTGGTACAGTGGTCGGATGGACCGGAGCTCAAGGAGAAAGGCAAGGTGCGCGAGGGAACAAGGCTGTTTCGCGATTGGAAGAAGTGGGTCTACGCCAATCTCCCACGGTTGTCGCCGGGAGAAGGTGCGGCGGGTACCAGTTCCCAGATGCAACCGTAGATCGCTCAGCTTTGCGCAGCCTCAGAGGATGACTCGAACGATTGGAGGGCGTAACGCTGTCCCTGACGTCGTCCCTGGCCCCGAATGGCGCTTCCTGCTGCTCAAAAGCGCCATGCGACCGTCCACGCGTGTCCAGATCGAGAGAAAATGAGTCGTTATCGATGATGCATTGCGCCGATGAAGAGTTTGTCGAACAAGGAATGGTGACCTTGCGACGGAAACAGCTGAGGCGTGCAAGGTATGTGTGGACGTGTTGTGGAAAAGGGTGCGAGAGGTTTATTCCGAGTCCTCGAGGTACTTTCCTCGGATGTCCTTCCACTGCTTCTGTTGGGTGGGTCAATCGGCGTAGAGGGAGAAGAGCGAAGGGAAAGAGGTGTGAGCAAGGATGGTCTTTCGGCGTGTCAAACTAGAGTGACTGCAGGAAGTTGGTGTCGCTTTCTTCTGGCGGCGCAATGAAGAGCGAGATGACTGAGTCGAAGGATGTTTGAGACCGTGCAAAGAGTCTCCCGTCGACATGGCTATGATGCTGCTTTGCGAATCCCACACACTAAGTCCAAGCGCCTGTCGTCGTTCCTAATAGTGCTAATTGAGCCGGGAAGCGTCGAGCGAAGATTGTCCGAGCCAAAACGTAAACGAGCGCCCATGCTGCGATGCCGATGCTGCCCAAATGGTAAGAAGCCGTGCCGAGAGTGTCGAAACTTACGCCCTTGTTATGCGCATCCCACCATTTTGTGGTGGCAAGGTCGAAGCCAATACCGAAGGCAAAGGCGCCGAAGAAGATGGAGCCGACGCTGCCATGTCGAAGAAGATCGCGGGATGATCAAAGCAAGAAACAAGGTCAGCAAGGACATTCACACCGAGTGCGTAGAGTGTGCTTCCAGAAGCCTGGCGGCCAAGGCAGAAGAGGTTCGACAGCCGGCAAACCCTGCATTGAGATTGTTGCACTGTCCGTCGTGTCGAGGGTGTGCCAGGGGGGGCAGCATGCAGGTTGCGGGCTGAATGAGGCATTCCTCCCGGAGCCGCTGATGGAAGTGTGCAGAAGGTGGCACCCAAGTCGAGACTCACTAAACCGAGTTACGCTTGAAGACGGTGTTGTAGACAGACTTGGCCAACGACATTGTTGGAATGTGTATGGGTGGATGACGATGCGGTGGTGGTGACGAGCGGAGTGATATGGCGATTTGTGAAATGTTGTTCAAAGAACACTTCTTCCAGCCAGGAGCGAGCGGGCCTGAGAGCGATTTCAAATCCGAGGCTTGGTTGGTTGTCCTTGCTCACCCACAGCCGCCCGGTAGAAACCCAAGATGGGCTTGTGGCTCGGGTTGAGGCGGATGGCCTTTCGGAACCGCTCAGGATTTTGACAGGATTGTCCTTGTTGGCGATCTCACAACATAATACAACTTGACACTCTCGCACGTAACATTGACAATTCTATCATGCAGGGTTCACGACAGCCCCTGAGTCTGGGCTCTGTCTCGAAAACATGAAAGAAAAGAGGGGCTGCGTGCATGTGAGCCGACGCCGCATACAGCATCAGCAGCAGCCAGGCACGCGCGCCTGTTTGACAGCAAACAAAGAGAGAGCGCGTCGATGCGCCACGAGGATGCCAAAATGCAAGACCAACACCTTGATCAACCCTTCTTCCGGTAAAAATGGCCATCATGCAAAGACCGTCCCTGCTCCGCTCGAATGTGTCCCTATTGCATCAGCGTCTCCATCCGGCCTCATTCGGGACCAAGTCGGTATTCGTCCCTGCATCTTGTTTGTTCAGATCTTCCCGTCCGTGTCTCACTCTTAATAGAACGGCGAGGGGGGAGCGGGGTCGCGACCCGAAGATGACCGGTGATGGTTTGGATCGGATTTGGCAATCACCATTCGCACCGCCGAGTATCTCGACGCGGTATCGAGTTGTGGCCGCTGAGTGGCACTCGCCGTATCTATGGCCTTGATCACGCCAGAATGAGCTTTGCCGGATGATCCGAGGCTGTACAGCGTGATCCATCAGCGACAAAGGAAAACGTGACTGATTGGCGTGGGAAGCCCCTGAGAGGCAAGATGGACGATGAGCAAGTGGCTTCGGCTTCTCACAATGGGCTGTCGGCGAGTCCGCCGTGATTCAGCTCGGCGTGTTGATTCGACTGTGGGTTGGCTGCCTCTGCTCGACTCCTTTTCCGCTCGTGCAGATGCGTGCATGGCTTGCAACTTTTGACTTCGCTGCGTTACCTCGACGACTTGCTTCCTCACCACCAACTCTTCCTCTCCGCACCATCATCCGCCATTGTCCCTAGACTCCCGCATCATCTTTCCCATTCCCCTTCAAATCGGACGTCACCTCCCATACACTGGGCCACAACGGAAGCAGCTGCCGTCTTCGCATCCCTAACACCGTCTAGGAGACTGATCAACAATCCTCCTCGAGCATCCACATCACTATATCCGCTTCACGCCAAGCTTGCCTCTTCCTACGCTATGAAGAAGGTACAGCGCTTCATCGGCGTCGGCGACTCCAAGCCCGCCTCGGCACCCCTCGTCAGTCCCGGCGGCTCGTACTTCAGCGCTGCCCTCTCAACGACTCAATATGGTACCGCACCTTCAACGCCTGGCGCTGGTGCTGCTTTGAGCTACGAAGCAACAGCCAATCTGCTCTTTCCACCTTCACAAGCAGCGCAGCCTCAACAGTCCTCGCCGCGTTCCCGACCCAACTCCAGGCAGGTCTCGCCCCAGACATCACAGACCCCTCTGCATTCCGGCATGCCCTCTCCCTCTCCTTTCAGCCCATCTCCGCAACAGCAATACTTTGATCTTCCCATCAGAGCCGTCTCGCCTAGCACAGTAGCCACTCCCCGTCCTGTCTCACCAATGGCACGACCCGCTCTCAAGCACTCTGCTTCCAGTGCGGCACTCAAGCCAGCGCCCTCTGCTGTCGCCGGCCTTCTCGTTGAACGCACCGATCTGCACAAGTCGCTCAAAGCGCTCGAGACCCTCCTCGTCAACCTCGACGAATACCGCGACCTCGCCGCTCGCATGGCCAAGGTCGAAAAGAAGCTCGCAAAGAGCACCTTGGAGCTCGAACGCACCAAGGTCGTCCTCCCGACCCCAGCGCAGACGCTCCAGGTCACCTCCACCATGTACGAAGCTCTCTCCGACGTCTCGTCCCGACACGCCAAGCACATTCAAAAGGAGTACGAAGCCGTCAATGATGCCTGCGCAAAGTACTTCAAGAAGATCGCCAAGGAAGAACGAGCACACGACGAGCTCGTCCAGTCCATCGACGCCAAGATCAAGAAGGCAACTGCAGCCCACGAAAAGATTGTCAAAAAGGCCGCAGGCAACAAACCGGCGCTCGAGTCGCATGAAAAGTATCTTGCTACTGTTCAGGCGCTCGCCGCCGACATTGCCCGCGTCAAGCATGCCCATGGGCTCTCCATGGCAGCCAAGAGTCATGTCTCTTCATTGCTCGTCGCCAGCACCGTGGCAGGATTGGCCGATGTCGACTTCAAGCATCAGTGCGAGGCGGTGCGCCGCGTCGGACCCCACGTTGGCCGTCTCAACGAGCTGCTGTGTTTCACGTCCTCCGAATTCATGCCAGCCCTCCAAGCGTCCGAGTTGGAGGAAGCGCAGCAGGGTCAAGCCAACTATCTCGCCGGACTTGCAGCTCAAGTCGAGGCATCTGTAGCTGCCCAAGCTCAGATCAACGCCAAGATCAACGAGGACACTCAAACCATCCTCCGCGCACAGGAGATGGGTTGGCGTCCGCCTTCGCCTTTGTCCCTGCCGGCTGGCAACCACGTCAACCTGGGTCGCAGCAGCAGCAGCAAGAGCACTTCTGGTAATTGCGCTGAAGCAGCTGGACCCGACCGTCCGCCGATGGCGCGCTCTGCTCCGAGCAGTCACTTTGTCGACAACGCCACAGCAGCCGCAGCGCCTCGTACCACCACCCTGCAGTCGCAGCCTGAGCGTGGCAGCACACGCCCGCTCCCCAATACAACGACAAGAACTGGACCCGCCTCGAACGGTGCCCCTCTGCAGCTGTCGCACGTCCAGCTGCACACGGTCAATGGCAACGCCAGCCTCGACCGAGCACCCACCAACACCACCATCAAGTCGATGGCAGTTCAGCCCCAATCTTGGGAGGACGCCGCCGGATATGCAAACGCCCAAGCCCACGACCGCGACAATACGGATTCTTCTGCGCAGGAAGGCAGCGTCGTCGATAAGCTAGCGGTGCCGCGCGAAGAGTCGGACGCCGTTCCGCCGAGCCTTAGCGCCAGCAACAGCGCTCAAGGCTCGGACGACGGCAACCGCATCCCTCGCACACCCGATGACAACCAGGCAATGGCCTCGCTGCAGGCCGGCCGCAACTTCTACCAGCAGCAGCAGTCGGCTAAGCCCAACGAGACGTTCGACTACCGCAAAGCTCAGCCTCTCAATAGCGCGATAGAGAAAGCACGCTCCAACGTTGTTTCCTCGACCAACATGCGACCAGCCCAACGTGCGCTCGAGCAGTATCGCGAGCAGACCGCGAAGCTCGAATCCTCGCCGACTGCTCCCAAGTTCGATCGCAGTCAAACTGCTCTCGGGAATGGCTCGTCCGAGTTCAGCAGCACCGACAGCCGATACAGCGCCGAGGATCGACCCAACGCACGCAAGATCAGTTTGTGGGAGCGCGAGCGCGAACGGATGAGGCAGCTCGAAAAGGAGGAGGAGATGGCCGCGGTGCGAGCGCCTTCTTCTTCCAACAACGGCTTTCAGCGTCGGCCCTCCTCGGCGATCTACTCGAGCCAGGCCACTTCGTCGACGTTCAATACGGATGGTGCTTGGTCGCGATCCATTATCAGCGACGGAGGCACGACCGACAAGGCTGCCGGGCAACAACTGGGACACGGCCACCCGCGCTCATCGGGCACCGACTCGAGCGATCTAGACAAATACGCCCCCGCCGTAGGATCGACGCGTCTGTCTGCAGTCGGCGTCACTCGATCGCTCAGCACCGATACCACCGCCTCGGAACGCAGCTTTGTAGCGAGGATGAAAGAGCGCTACCAAGCTGCAAAGGACCTCGAGCGAGAACAGCGCGAGCGCGTCCTTCGCGACAAGCCCCGCCCTATCCGTCGTACCACGATGGACCCCACCCTGTCGCTCCCGTCCCTTGGCGGCGCGCGTGGTCGTGTGCCAGAAATGGCATCGCGCTACCAGACGACAGGAACCCCTACGTATGCACAGGAGGTGCCTCCAGGACAACGATACCACGACAGTCTGCCAACCACCTCGCGCATGTCATCTCTGCCCTCAAAAGGTGTGGACGAGTTTGGCGGCATCGTCCGGGACAGGCGCGGTGCCGAGCCGCCTCATTCGGATGTGTGCGGCTGCCATCAGTGCTCAGGACGTCATTACGGCAGCGGAACGACCAAGGTGGATCAACAGCGAACCATGCCTCGCGATGCACAGTCGCAACAGGCTTATGCGCTCCGTCAACAGCAGCAGCACAAGCAGCAGCAACTGCAGACCCCGGCTGGAAGAGACGGAGGAATGCCGCGTCGCAGTCAAGAGGATTTGGGAGCGAGCGGCGACGGTGCAGCTAGGAAGGTCATGTTTGCGCACGAGACGCAGACGATACGTTGACGGGCGGGCGTGACGACTGGTCGGGATAGGATCGGGATCACGATCTTTGGCGGCATGCGCAGACATATCAACATACCCCAGCGGCCTTCATCGTAGCCATTCTCGTGTGTCGAAGTGTGCGAGCGTGTGTGAGGGCAGCCGTCACAGCTGCAGCGTGTGCAGCGGAGTCGCCGGTCTGCGAAGGAGTGGAACGCCGGTTGTTGGCGGTTTGCGGGGTAAGCACATCTGCTTAAGCGACGGCGGCGGAAGCGGCAGCGGCAATTTCATTCTCTTTCCCCACTTTGATGCAGTGTGACCTTTTCTGCGTTCGAGAAGCACCGCCGCCACTCTGTCACTGCCTGTCGTCGGTCAACTCAGCCATCTTCTGCATGAGCGATTCTGTCATAGATTCCCGTCCTCCGGCGATTTGCGCCAGTCGGAGTTGGGCTGCCGGCGAATTGTGTCTCTCTTCGCACTCGCATCCCTCCTCGATATCTCCCATCTCGTCTTAAGAGTCGTGCTTCCTCGAAAGAAGATGGTGAATGTCCGCGTCATGTCACCGATGAGAACCATGTGATCAGGTGGGGCTCCAGTCAACGCAAACCGGGAATCCCTTCGAGAGCATGTCTGTGTGGGGTGCGGCCGCTAAGCGAGGTCGGCTCGAGCAAGTTGGCCGATTTGGCTCCGTCGGCAGTATTCGATGCGGTCCCCGCAAACCTTGTCTTTTGCATAGCAGTCGAACGACCCTTGTCGGCAAGAGGTGTGCGCTACGGTACGCTACGGTCCGATGTTCACACCTTTGCGCTGCGTGGCGAGCTTGTGGTCGCCGGTCCGTATAGCCTCTTGCTGTGGTGTTGGTGCTAAGGCGTTCGGCCGGCGCTGTGGATGAGCGGAGCCCGCCAACACCCAGCTGCTGTCAGAAATGCACGTCAGGATCTCTCGCCTTGCTGGCTTCGCTCAAAGAGCTGCCCAGTTCCTTGGCCCCTCACAGGCCCGCCAGATTGATTGCTGGCCGCAGCGTCCCACATTCATTCTCCACTAGGCGGCTTTCGGTGACATCTCGAGACCACTTCGATTGCCGCCGCTTGGCGCCTGACCTGACAGCTCGAGGAGGTCGCCGGTCTTGATGTTCTATCAGACAATGCCGCAGGCTCAGCGTATGACGCACACTGCTGCGTCCTGTCACCCTGTCAGGGATGCCATGACAGAACAGTATATATTGACGCCGTAGCCGCTTAGACACCGCTCCTTTCGTCTACACAAGACAAGGCTCAGCTGTACGACATCACAGCAAGGCACGCCTCATCGAACGACGAGTGTCTGTTCCGCCCTACACACAAAGCCGTCATGCGGACATCATCACTATGGACGACGCTGCTGCTTGGCCCGACAGCCACCGTCGCTCACGCCACCAGCAGCAACGACAGCGTCACCGACAAAGTCTGCCTTTCGACCAAGCCCTCCAACTCCGGATCATCCTCTTGCGACGGCTACCTCATCGCCAAAGCAGGAGAGACGACCGAAATTCTCACCTCGCGCGATGACTCTTCCGTCGTCCACCATGCAGCCTCCAGCTTTGCAGCCGACTTGATGCAGATGGTGCCATCCTCGAACGTCGTTGTCAGGAACGTCACTGCTGCATCGATGAAGATGCAAGGTCAGAAGAAGGAAAGAGTGGTCATCGTTGGCAGTGTTGACGGCTCGAGTGTCATGCGTGAGCTCGTCTCGATGGATCAGGGCGTCGCGAAAGAAGCAGACAAGATCAAGGGTCAGTGGGAGTCGTGGTCCTCGGCAACGCTCGAGTCCGGCTCTGGACTGGTGCTAATGGGCTCCGACAAGAGAGGAACCGCATACGCACTGTACACGCTGAGCGACGAGATGGGCATCAGCCCCTGGAAGTGGTTCGCCGACGTCCAGCCTACTCAGTCTCACTCGGCCGTCTACTACTCCCCCTCCTCATCCTCGGCATCGTTCGGCTCCAACGCGTGCTCTCACGGTCCACCGCTCGTCAAATACCGCGGCATCTTTCTCAACGACGAGGCTCCCGCACTCACCAACTGGGCGCGCACGCACTTCGAAGGCCCCTTCCCACCCGAATCCGCACCCCAGTCGTTCAACGATGCCATGTACACCCATGTCTTCGAGCTGCTCCTTCGACTCAAAGCCAACCTGATCTGGCCAGCGATGTGGTCCGATTCGTTCGCTGTAGCCGGTCTACCGGATCTACCCGGTCACGGTGTCAATGGCACCGGCGCTGCCGGTCCGAACCAGCTCCTTGCCGACCGCATGGGCATCGTTTTCGGTACATCGCATCAGGAACCTATGGGACGCAACACGCCCGAGTGGAACACCTGGTACCAAGGTCCCTGGGACTACACTACGAACGAAAAGAACATCACCACCTACTGGCAATACGGCGTGGAGCGCGCGCAGGGCTTGGATACCATGTTCACCATGAGCATGCGCGGTAACGGCGACAAGGCGTTGGAAGGGGCGAACATCGAGCTGCTCCAAAACATCATGGCAAAGCAGAAGAGCTTGTTGCCGCACGGCGACGCGGGAAATTCGAGCAAGGTGACGGTACCCATGATGATGTGCCTATACACCGAGGTGCAGGGGTACTACAATGAAGGGTTGCAGGTGCCGGATGATATCACGCTGCTCTGGACCGATGATAACTTTGGGTTCATTCGCAGGATTCCCACGGAGGCGGAGAAGAAGGGTCGTTCTGGTGGCGCAGGTCTCTACTACCATGCAGAGTGAGTAACGACCTCTTGCCCTAGTTTGTAACAGCGTACAGACGATACTGACGACTTTGCGTTGGATCAACAGCTACGTCGGTCCCCCACGCTCCTACAAATGGCTCAACACGGTCAACCTCCTCAACGCGTGGGAGCAGCTCAACGTCGCCTTCCTCAACGACCAGACTGAGATCTTCATCCTCAACGTCGGCGACCTCAAGCCTGTCGAGGTTCCGATCCATTTCATGCTCGACATGGCGTACGACAACACGGCCTTGACCCATCCCACCAACGTGACCACCTGGCTCGACAGCTGGGCGACCAAGACGTTCGGCGCTCAACCTTCTCGCAAAGTGGCCGAGGTGGTGAGAGGCTATTCCTGGTTGAACTCGCGCATCAAGCCCGAGCTTCTCAACTCGACCACCTGGAGCGTGACGCAGCACTCCGAGGCGGAATCCGTCCTCTCTCGATGGAACGAGCTGGTCTCCATCGTCCAAAACGAACTCACACCCTACTTCAAGGGCACCCCCAACTGGGACGCATTCTATCAACTGGTCGCCTACCCCACCCTCGCCTCTGCCAACCTGAATCGCCTACACATCGCCGTCGGCCGCAACAACCTTGCTGGCACCCAAGCCAAGAATTCCGCCAACCACTACGCCGTGCTCGCCCGACGACTCTTTGCGCACGATGCGGAGCTTGCCGCCTCCTACCACGCCCTCGGCGATGGTAAGTGGAACCACATGATGTCCCAACCGCACATTGGGAGCCAATACTGGCAGCAGCCGATGCGGAATATGCTTCCCCCTCTCGCGTATGTCGATGTCGCCGGGCAATCCTGGCCAAACACGGCCATGGCGGGTAACATCAGGGTCAGTGTCGACGGCAGCATGGGCGCGTGGCCGGGCGATAACCAGTACAACTGCGCCGATGGGTACAATTGTCCCGATCCGAGTCTTCGGCCGCTAGGCAGGTACGATGGGGATCAGAAACGAAGGGTTTGGGTGAGTGCTGGTGATGATGGTGCATTTGCCTTCAGCGCTACGACCAACGTATCCTGGTTGTCTGTCACCCATCGTCTTGCCACAAGCAGCGGAAATAGCAGCAGTGACATGGAGACGGCGACGATGCTGGACGGTCGATTCTTCACCAAGCGCGCCGATGGTTTTGAAGCCGGCGGCAACTTTGATGACGATGTGGAGCTGTCGTTGCACGTCGACTGGTCGCACTTTGACTCGGTCTCCTGCGCGGATCCCCACGAGATGGTCGCGGGGATGGTGTACATCAACAGCACTAGCGGTAGCGGCTACGTCGGCATGTCATCTCCATCGAACGTCACCGTCATCCTCGCCGTCGACCCATGCACGCTCTCGCCGAGTGCCAGCATGCCAAATGGCACATTCGTTGCTTCACCGGCGGACGGTAGCGTATCGATGCTGGCCAGCAACGCCATCATCGAGTCCTCCCGCACCAACTCCACACCTGCCTACCTTGAGCCGCTCGATGGCTATGGTCTGCTGGGATCGGCAATTACCGTCCTCCCCCCCACTTCCGAATCCATCCCGCTTGGCGACGGTCCGAGTCTTTCGTTTGACTTTTTCCACCCCAACACCACTGCTCAGAGCTTCAACATCACCCTCTGGCTCAGCCCCGTTCTCAACTATCGAGACAAACGACCCCTGCGCTACGTGCTCGAGCTGGACAATGACCCTTCTTCGCGCTCCATGGTTACGCCTGTGCCAGAGAACATCACGCCCGGCACCAACAGCGCCGATTGGGGCAACGTCGTCAGCGCCAACATCCGACGGGTGACAACGCAGTTGAGCGTGAATGGGACGGTGGAGTCAGGAAAAAGGACGGTAAGATGGTGGCCATTGGAACCTGGGTTGGTGCTGGAAAAGGTGGTTGTGGAGCCCCTAGAGGGTTCGAGTGCCGCGACGACACTTGGTATGCCCGAAAGCGGACGAGTGGGGATGCTATGATCTCGCTCCCAGTCACATTCACAATCTCAATGAGACAGACATGAACCACACTGCGCTGCCCGAAAACTATCCATTGACCCACCTCGACAAGAAAGAACCATCTATGATCCACATGAGCAAAAATGGGGATCAATGCGAGCTCCAGTTGGGATCATCGTTCTTGAACTGCGCCAGCCAGCTCCACATGTCGGTGGAGTCGGCGGCGGCCCTGTTGGCGTTGAAGAGCATGCCGTGGCCCTGTCCCGGTACGACCAAGCTCCTTGCATTAATCGTTTCCGCGTCCATCTGCTTCCACAACCGTTGGAGTTCCAGATAGTGCTGGTCGGGGGTGACGGGTTGATTTCGCGGGATCTGCGTGTCGTTGGTCGCACTCACACTCGCAAACCGCGCCGCCGGGTTCGCCTTGGCCAATCCGACGATGTACGAGTCAAAGTTGCTATCGTCGCACAGGGGGCAACGGGTTTGATCGGGAACGTGGGTGTTCCACGTCGGTCGGAAGGTGGCTGGCAACGGTGTCTCGCCAGAATCCTGCAACAGATCGATCCTCACCCCCGCAAAGGCGTCTTGGGCATTCTGATACTGCAACACCGTCCCAAACGCCCCGCTGCTCGTACCGGCGATCCACACCCTCTGCACATCGGGCAGCATCTCCCTCAACTTGACCAGATCCAACCGTCCATTCTGAAACCCCTTATGCCACGTCGTCCTCCCCGCCCCTTCGTACGTCACCACATTGTCTCCGCCATGCAAGTCGCCCGTGCAGTACGGGATGAAGGCCAGATTCGCCCCCCTCCACGGGTTTGTCGGGTTCTGACGGTTGAACGGGAACCAGTTCGCCAACGCCTGCGGCTGATTCTGCGCCAGGAAGGTGGTGCCGTTGAAACCGTTCATGTTGTAAACGCGGTTCTGACGGTAGCAGGTGGAAGCGTCGTAGCACGAACCGCCTTCTTGGAGACGGATGAGCAGGTCCGAGGAGGAAGGGAGGAGGGAGACGGCAAGACCGGTGGGAGAGCCATCGCCGCACTGCGTGCCGGGCACGTCGATCCACGTCCAGTTGCTGTTGGTGGGCGAGGTGGCGGCGGTGGTGGCGGCGGTGGTGGTGGTGGACGGGGAGGAGGAGGGGGAGGTGGAGGAGAGCGTGCCAGAAGAAGCGGCCGAGAATTGGGTCGAGGAGGTGGTGGGGACGTACGAGTCGGCAGAGGTGGTCGAGGCGGAAGAGGTGGCTGCGGCAGACGCGGTTGAAAGGGAGGTAGATGCGGAGAAGGCAGCCGAAGTCGAAGCGGACGACGCAGACGAGCTGGAAAGCGAGGCAGAGGTGGATGCGGACGAAGAGAGGGAGAGGGACGAAGAGGCTGAGGAGGACGAAGAGGCTGAGGAGGACGAAGAGGCTGAGGAGGACGAAGAGGCTGAGGAGGACGAAGGGCTACTGGCGAGCTGGGGAGCAGCGCTTGGCGAAGCCGCCGAGCTGGAACCATTGCTACTCGCCACTTGGGCGACTCGCCCCGCGTTCCTCGTAAACGTGTAGCTCGCGCGCACCGTCCCGTTCCCGCCCCACATTCCCTTGGTGTACTTGGACTCGCTCCTTGGACTCGGCGCGTCGTACACCGCACAGATCATGTTGCCTTCCGGAAAGTCGGCAAACATGATCAAATGCACCATGGCACATCCGCTGGTGCGCTCGCAGAACTGCGTGCACGCATTGACAAACGTCTGGTTGGTGGCGGTAGCGGTGGCGTCGATGGTGGTGCGGTTGAGGTAGGAGCGCAGACCGGTGGTGTTGAGGGCCATGCGCCAGTTGTCGATCGCCCAGCTGTAATTGTATCCAGAGGGGGCGACGAGGCCCGAGACGTAGCGCGGTTCGAGGTGACGTAGGTCGATGAAGGCGGCGTGGGTGGACGATGCCAGCGCGAGGGCCGCGAAAGCAGCGAGGAGCGATGAGAACTTCATCCCGCCTGCCTGGGCCGTCGATGCGGAGAGAGAGAAAGGGGTAAAGTGAGGTGCGTGGTGGGAGCAATCAGGGCAAGGGCGCGAGCGGAAGAGCGAGCGGAAGATCAAGACTAGATATATGTGGTCGGTCTCTCCTCAGAAAGCCGCTCTGCTGAGCAAAGGTTTGGGGCGCCGTGATGTGCTGGACGGGAAGCAACTCGCGAGCGAGAAGCAGGTAGGTTGTCCTGTTCCCGACTCGATCAGAATGGCAATGGGGGTTTTGCCAAAAGACGTAGGTCGGTCGGAGCTTGCTCTGTACGCCCTATTCTCGTTGGCTCGAGGGAGCGGGCCGACAACGAACAAGGTGTATCGCCGCCGGCTCGGCGGGTCCTGCGAGCGGGAGCATGGTGTTGGACGGGGTCGTCAACACGCAAAGTCCGGATCGAGCAATGTGAGCTGGCGAAGTCTCGGTGAGAGCGCATCGAACGAGAGCTTTCAACGCTGGCGAGCGGCCACGTTGCAACGCGTCCCGAACCCTTGGTTGACGTGCGGAGTTGCTGCATGCGCGCTTCTCGGGGAGGGATGCCAAGAGCCGGGGATCAAAGCCCGCGGGGGAAAAATGCCATTGAAGAGGCAAGTAGGGTGATGCTGATCAATGTCAAAATTTGGCTCTCTTTGAGACTCCGATAGGCGGGAGAGGGAGATTTGCAGATCCACACCATCAAAGTCCCGCACTCGCATAGAGCCGATCCTGGCTCTGCTGCCACGACCGTCGGAGCCCTTGGATCCCGCAGGTGTCGCAAATGGCTCTCGAGGTGTCTCGCGTGGCCTTGGTAGTGTGAGACCCAAAGCGATTGCTAGGCATCGCGGTGAGCCAACCAGACTGGAATCGTCGCCTCGCCCTCGATAGGCGTGAATCCAGCAAAGTTTCGCAGACGCCGTGGTGGACATGCAAGGTCTGGACCTAAGAGGGAGCGAGGTGGACCGAGGAATGTTCCCATGCGAAGCAGAGATGGCCGAGATGGGTACCTTTGCCAAGATGTCGTTTGTTCCCGGAGCGGGAGTCAGTTTCCGGCGCGGGAGCCAAGTAGCTGAATGAAAAGGTCGTACGACGCGCAAACGAGCCATGTGGCAAGACGATCATCCCGCGGGCAGCTCGCTTGTGAGCTGGGCGCTTCTTGCATGATTTGATCTTCGGATGCCTTTGTCGATCCCCAATTTGAGTTTCTCTCTGCTGAGCTTTGGTGGGAGTGAAGTCGCATCACGCTCATGATCGTATGTGCGGCGATCATGGTCTCGAGAGCAACGGCGGTGTTGACCACCACAATAGCTGAGACAGGAAAGGCAGTATGCGAGGCAAACGAGGCAGCCGATGACTGCAGATAGAGCGGACGTGCACATCATGAAGCAGGCGAAGTGATCATCATGAGCGACGCTGAATCACGATTCGCTGCTCATCCTCGTGGTACATCTGAGCTTTGTACGACTCCTTGCGAATGCACGCATCGTCGATTTTCGAGAAGCTTGACCAGTGAGCTCACGATGAGCACCACCGCCTGCTTCTGGGCTAGACGAAAGGAATCCTCGCGCCTTAACTTTACTTGCTCAGTCGATTGTCTTCGTCAGCTGTGTGTCTGCCTTGATCGCTGCTCTCTTCACTGGTGCCGCGTGTTGCAATTCACTTGTGCGCTGTCTCGAAGGCTCCGCTCATTGGACATAGGATCAGCTGTACGGGTGTCGTCGCTCTGTTCGTTCTGCACTTCGTCGTGCTCTTTGAGCTCGATGTGCAAAGATGATCCGATCCGATGTCAGATCGGTTCTTCTAGATATCGAGATTTTGAAAATAATCGAAGATTGCAAAGAGAGCTCTAACACTCTGAGTTTGACTAACATCTGGGCCGGCATCTGCTGGACCGCCCCCTCAATCTTGCCACCATCTGGCCGTTTGGCTACCTGCAGTCGGGATCTGGCTAGCTCGACGATCAGCACTCTCGCGTGGCAGGATCTACGCAAATGGATCTCGGAAGACTTGCATCCGTATCGTTGACGTGGTCTCACGCTCAGCCATTGATAGGACGGCATCCAACTCCGCTCAAGCACGCGACCAGCGTTATCAACCTGCGGCATGAAAACGGCAGCGCAGCAGCAGACCGTATGCAGGCGAACACTCCGCGCCGCCGGTTCGAGTCCATATGCATCTCATCATGACACATGAACGCTTCATCGCCCTGCCTGATGAATGCCATCTCCCACCCCTCTCGCCCCCCAGTGGATACTCTTGAGCAAACTCTGACCCGACTGCCGACTCCACAATGCAAAGCCTCGGCGGGGATGCGCCGGCCTAGAGGTGGGACACGGCAGAAAAGGATCGAGCATGCATGCATAAGCGAACCGCGCTAAAACGGCCTTGTTTTCTCAATCAATCGCGACTTTTCAATGACAGAGAGACACGATGCGATGGCCGACGATTGCAGCGGCACACGACCTTCCGCATTCCCCAACGGTAGCCTGTCGTCAGACTGCAACGGCAAATCGCGCCGAGACAATGCCCATCTTGACCGTTCTACAATCTCATCCAATCATCGGACTTGCTTTCGACCCCACAAACGCGCTGTTCAACGGTCAATTCGCATGCCGCCGAATCAAAGGTTGGCTTGCGACGAGCAACAATGCCAAAGATCGGATCAGTAGCGACAGCGTTGGTCGAAGCGCTCACATGACGACGACAGCCGTAGCGTTAGAGCCAGGTTCGAGCGCACGCGACTGGGTGGCTATCAGAGCACATGAGGCCCAGTCCAGAGGCCAAAGAGGTGCGCTATCTTCGCTTAGCGTCCGTTCGACCGTCCATTTTGATCGCCGTGCCGACCGTTTCGCCTTGAGCCAGACGCAGAGGCCGCGGTCCGCCCCACTTGTCGCCTAGCGCCTATTTCCCTTGTAACGACGCACAACCTCGAACCGCAGACCCTAAGCGAGATCCGGAAGCTTTGTGGAAGACCCTCGTCCGCTTCCTCTCGCTTCTCGGTCAACCCTCAGATAGGCGGCAGCACAAATCCTACTTTCAAGATGCAGCTCGCTTCGAAAAGCTTTCGCATCGCACACTGCCTGATCAGCCGCAGCGACGCAGGCTCCGACGTTCGGCGCAACCTCTTCCGCTCAACGCTATCGCAATGTATCGCAGACGCTGCGCTTTTCCTAGGCCAAGCGAGGCCGAAACCCGACGGCTGCCAAAAAGATGTGCGGCACATCGACGGCTCAAACGGCGGCAGTAGCGGCAGCATCAGCACTCCACCCTTGCCGCCGCTTCAGCCTCCTACGGCACAGTGCTGCTGCCGCCTACTGCTGCAGCGCACGCGGCGTTGCAGATCTTTTGGAACTCTCTCCCTTGATCCCTTGGACCCGTCTTTCCCCAGTCAGTAGCGAAGCCGGCGGCGAGGCTAGCCATCGCAAGCAAAAGCATATATACTTAGCCGTAACCGACGCACCACCCATCGACGCACTCCATCTCTCCTACGTTCCTCTTCTCCCCGCCTCCCCTCCTGCCACCTTCTCCTCACCATGAAGCTGGTCACTATCAAGGCGTTGGTCGCCTTGACCTCGCTCGCCCTCATGGCCGATGCGGCCGCCGTTCGTCGCTCCAACCTGGTCGTCAAGGAATCCGTCTCGGTCCCCTCGGACTGGGTCCGACGATCCGACGCTGCCGACAACGAGCCGGTCGCCCTCCGCTTCGCGCTCAAGCAGTCCGATGTCTCGGCCCTCGAGCAGCACCTTCGCAAGACCTCTGACCCGGATCACGAGCTCTACGGTCAGCACCTCAGCGCCGACCAAGTCTCCTCTTACCTTCAGCCTCACAAGCGCTCCATCGAGGAGGTCGAGCTGTGGCTGCGCGACGCTGGCATCCACATTGACGAGGCCCTCGCCGCCCGTTCTCCCTCCAAGGACACCTTCACAGTCCACATCCCCGCCTGGCAGGCCCGGGAGCTGCTCAACGCCGACCTCGGTGTCTACGAGCACAAGCGCAGCGGCACCCTCGCCGTCCGCACGCCCGAGTACAGCGTGCCCGAACACGTCTCGGAGCACCTTGACTACGTCGGTCCTCTAACGCTCTTCACCCAGCCTCGCGCGCTCAAGAGCGACATCGCCGGCACGCAGGTGCTCGTCAAGGAGCTCGCCGATGACGACGCTTCCATCGTCGGCGACGTTCACCGCATCGTCGACGGTGGTCAGCCAGCTGCGTGCAACACGTCGGCCGTCACCAACCTCTGCCTGCGCACCTTCTACAAGACGGTCAACTACGTCCCCAAGGCGGCGAGCAAGATGTCGCTCGGTGTGTCCGGCTTCTTGGGTCAGTGGGCCAACTTTGCTGACTTCTCTGGGTTCCTCAAGGAGCAGCGACCGGATGCGGGTAAGGCGGGGTACAACTTTACCGTGCAGAGCATTGCCGGTGGGTTGAATTCGCAGAGCACCCCCGGTGACGAGGCCAACCTCGACGTCCAGACTGTTGGCGGGTTCATCTACCCGGTTCCGTTCACGTTCTATACGACGGGTGGAAGCCCGCCGTACATCCCGGACACGGCGACGGTCAACAACACCAACGAACCGTACGAGGCGCAGTTGAACTATCTGCTTTCGCTCTCGAAGCTGCCTACTGTGCTGTCGACGAGCTATGGCGATGACGAGCAGACGGTTCCCAAGGCCTACGCGCAGAGGGTGTGCAACTACATCATGGCGCTCGGTGCGCGAGGTGTCTCGACGGTTTATTCCAGTGGTGACAGCGGTGTTGGTGCGACCGGAACGTGTGTCTCCAACGGCCAGTATACGAAGAATGGCACTGCGACGTTCTTGCCCGCCTTCCCGGCCAGCTGCCCCTACGCCACCACGGTGGGCGCCACGCAGAACTTCAACCCCGAGATCGCGGTGGATGGCGATTTGCCTGGGTTCTACTCTGGTGCTGGTTTCTCCTACGTCTTCCCCCGCCCCTGGTACCAGGCCACCGCGGTGAAGAACTACTTGCCGAACATCGTTACCAAGTACACGGGGTTGTACAACCCCAACGGACGTGCTTACCCCGACGTCTCCGCCCAAGGCAGTCGCTATGTTATCAAGATCGGCGGCAAGAACTACCTTATCTACGGCACCTCTGCTTCCGCCCCCACGTTCAGCTCCGTTATCGGCCTCCTGAACGATTACAGGATCAGTCAGGGCAAGAGCTCGTTGGGCTTCCTCAACCCCATCATCTATGGCAAGTGGCTCGGTACCCCCGCGTTGAACGATATCACCATTGGGTCCAGTGTTGGATGTGGAACGACGGGTTTCCCCGCAACCAAGGGCTGGGATGCTGTCACCGGATGTGGTACTCCCGACTTTTTGGAGATGCAGAAGCGTCTGCCTTGATCAGAAAGCAACAAAGTTTGACGTTGGGTTGACTTGCAATGTGTGATGTGTGGATGTGCTGAGGTGAATGAGTGGGGAAGTGTTGCGGCTCGAATGTGTGTGACAGTCGGGCACTGGTGAGGAAGTGGAAGTGTGGCGTGAGCGCTGTCGCTGCTAGAGCTCCCCCGAAGCTCGTCTTTTGGACAAGTCGTAGAGTCGGAAGTGGTGCGGCATTGGTACCTGTTCGAACCCCTCTCACGCAGGACGCAGTTCGAGCTACGATCTCCCACACAGCAGCTGCGGTCGCCGAACCTACTTTTCCACACACACACACTGGCTCGACTCATCTCAGTCTTTCTCACGCACAGGTTGGATCCGAAGCGTCAACATGTCTATTGATGGCAAGAATCAGCCGTGCTTCCAATAGCAAATGTCGCCGTCCTGCACCTTGTACTCGCGACCGATCTGCTTGTACTTGCCCGCAGCCTTGACGCCGTTCTCGTTGCCGTGCTCCTTGATGTCGTCGATGCTGAACACTTCACCGCAGACGAACTTCTTCTGGAAATCCGTGTGGATGATGCCGGCGGCTTCGGGAGCTTTGAGGCCCTTACGGAAGGTCCATGCGCGCACCTCGTCGGGGCCGGCGGTGAAGTAGCGCACCAGGTCCAACCCATCGTAGCCAGCCTTGGTGATTTTACCGAGGGCACCAGTGATGTTGTCCCCCAAAGTCGCCAGCTCCGCCGCTTCCGCCTCGGGCGATCCCAGTTGCAAGAGTCGCTCCTCCAGTGCAACCGAGAAGGGAATGAGCAAATCACCAGGGTTGTTCTCGTCAATCCACGCCTTGATCTTGGCCAACCACTTGTTCTTGCGTCGAACATAGTCTTTTTCGGAGAGGTTGACCAGGTAGATCACCGGCTTGGCCGTGAGCAGTTGGAGGTTGTTAATCACTTCGACCTGCATCCAGCAAAAAGAAACGATGATGGGTCAGCATTATGGTCTCGGTCGTATGGTACGATCTGCTGCTGCGTGCCGATGATGCTATGTCGCCAAAAATCAGTTGAAATACTACTTTTCTCATGTGGCTTGATGGGCCATCGACGAGCTGGGTTAAATTTATCGAGTGTCTCATGATGCGCACTCTTTATCATCATTTGGAAGCGCCATCCGTTTGTTCCTGTCCTCTGTGGGTCGACGACGCAGCAGCATGGGGCAAAAACTTACCTCGTTGTTGTTCCAGTCGCCCTTGCGAACATCCTTGTTGTCCTCAGCGACGTGCTTGAGGATCTTCTCGATGATGCCGACCTCCTCTTTGCGCTTCTTGTCTTCGAGGCTGACGTTTCCGGCGCTGCGAGCGTTCTTCTTGGCATTATCGAGCGCGGATTCGATCCAAGCAATGTCCTTCAACCGCAACTCGGTCGAGATGATCTCCATATCACGAATGGGGTTGACATCACCCTCGACGTGAATAACCTCGGCGTCATCGAAAGCACGCACGACCTGGAAGATGCCATCGACGCTCCTGACGTTGCTCAAGAAGGCGTTGCCCAAACCGGCACCTGTCGACGCACCGGCGGTCAAACCGGCGATATCGATGCACGTCAAAAAGGCGGGCACTTCCGACTTGGGCTTGTACTGCGCAGCCAACCAGGTGAACCTATCGTCCGGAACGGGCACCCGCGCCTCTTCGGGTTCGATCGTCGCATACGGGAAGTTGGCCGATTTACCCAGATCGCACTTGGCAACGACGTTGAAGAAAGACGACTTGCCGACGTTGGGCAGACCGACAATGCCCATCTTGAGGTTATTCGAGGGTCGACCCAAACGGATCTTTTCGACCACGACCTGCTTTTTGGGCGGCATCCTTTTCTTAGCGCTGATGAGAGGGGTGGTGGAGAAGGTGCGGCGAGCTGATGTTAGTCGAGCCGGTGTTGGCTGGAGAGCGATGCGATGGAGCTGTGTAGAGATGGACGCAGCAGCGATGCGAGTTGGGATGGGGATGCGAGTGGTGAGTGCGAGATTGGCAGTGGCCAGACGCAGATGAGCCATGTGAATGGGGAGGTGGTTGATGTCGAGAGGAAGGACGGTGCGCAGATGCAAGATTTTTCGCCGTTCTTCTTGCTGAGCTTCTTCGCTCTGCTTCTCTTTTGGCGATGTGCTTTTCGTCCGAATGGTTTTGGCGAAATGTGAGATCGGACGAATCTAGCGGTGGTGTGCGAACGAAAATTCGCGGTATTGACGTCAAACATCCGTTGGCTGCAGGATGAGGATCTCGAATAGAAACATGGATCATTCAGGAGCGCAACCATTTCAAATCTCACAGCGGAGCACCGCGTTCTCGAATTCGAATTTCAGGCCTTTGGCTTGGCTTGGATTCAGGCTGGGCAAACAACAAGGCTGGCTGACTGCACTGCAGCTGGGCTGGCTCGGGGCATCGGCGCGATTTCAAATTTAGATTTCGCTCGGCTTGAGTTCCGTTTGAGCTGCTGCGCTGCGCTGTGCTGTGCTGTGCAAGCCAACTTTCACTCTTGGCTTGGCGGACCACTTCCTTCACCGCTCACCACCATCATCTTCTCCTACGCCCCATCGCACACACACTCTTCACAATGCGATCGACACAATTCGCACTCGCGCTCGTCGCGCTCATTCTCTCGTTCGTCACTCTCGCATCAGCACAGGCCGCCGCCGGTGGTGGTGCCGGTGTCTTGACCACATACACGGGTGTTCAGATCATCTCGGGATACACACCACCGCCCTCGACACAGTTGCCAGCTCCTCAGGTCTCGCGTGGCACCATCTTGACCACCATCCCTGGCTACGGTAACGGCTCCAACGCGGCACAGAACCAGGGCTCGTCAGGCTCGTCCAGCGGTGCCATGTCGCTGCTCGACTCGAGGAGTTTCCTGTCGCGTGTCGCTGGCAGTGCCACGGTCATGGGTGTTGCTGTCGTCGCTGGCGCTATGCTTCTTTAAGTTGCGCTGACTACCTGACTACAGGGTTTCGACGCAGCGACAATACCACCAGCAACCAGCGCTTCGATCTCAATCATTCATCGCGTCGTAGTCACGGCATCGGCCTCAGCTCGTCTGACTCGCCCGACAAACGCTTACCGCTTAAGGTCACCGGCCATCGCCAGCTCGTTGTCGAACGCGAAAGAACGCACGCACGCGCACACTCGACTTCAACACGGACCATCTTGCTCTCTTCGATTCCTTCCCTTGTACATTTGCTCCACTGTTACGCAACGACGCTCATTCTGCACATTCGAACGACCTTTTGCACCTTCGATATCTGACCTTGCAATGCATTCATGCCACCACCTGGATCACAGGAGAGAACGACGATTTTGTTTGACCGCATACGGACCAGCGCATGACGGATATCGCTACAGGGAAGGACAGATGTGAGGGCAAAGAAAGGAGGAGGATACACCTGAAAGTCTAGAGGCGGTGCTCGTGCTTGTGATGATGACGACGGTGTCGACGAATGGGCGATGGAGTGTCGATGGTGGGTTTGGAGGGAGAGCGCTTTTTGAGACCAAGGCTGGGAAGGCCGCCACCCGGGAGAGGACCGAGTCCGCCGAGACCAGGTGCGCCGCCTCCGCCAAGTGCGCCGAGTCCAGGGATGCCGCCACCACCGCCAAGAGCACCGAGGCTGGGGAGGTTGCTTGCACCACTGCTGCCACCAGCGCCGCCGAGAGAACCCATGAGACCTTTGAGACCACCGAGGCCGCCTGCAGCACCGTCACCGGCGCCGCTTGCTCCAGCATCGGTACCCGCAGCGCCGTCCGCTGCAGCACCACCTCCGCCACCACCCGACGACTTGTACGCCTCGACCAAGAACTCGGCCGCAGGCTTGACGCTCGTCATCGGGTACGTCAAGTGAGCCAACCCATTCATCCCGCTGAGGCAAACCGGGTCGCCCATGGCACAAAACGTCTTGAACCTGTTCGTCGTTGGTACGGCCTGGGACTTTTCCATATCGCCAAACGTCACGGCTCCAATCACGTTGGAGACGCCACGAATGCCATGCACCACAAAGGCGCCCTTGCTGTAGCCGCCAAGGGCGAATTTCGTTGATGGACAGCGGGAGGAGAGGGAGCGCATGAAGGTTTCCGCAGCACGTGAGCCCTGGCCAGGGGAGATCATGTATTCCGCATCCGAGGAGTATTGCGTGTCGTAACACTGCGTGGCGGGGATTTGACTCTTTAGGGCGGAGCAGAGGGGTCGACCGACAATGCCGAGAGTGTTTTGGATCTCGGTGGTTCCCCGTGCCCAGATGAGTTGCAGGGAAGGACACTCGCTGTTTGAGGAGTCGGAGGAACCGAGAAGATTGCCAAGCATCGATCCGCCAGACGAGTCGGGGCTGGAAGTCGACCCCATCCCGCCCTGCATCATCTTCATCATCCCCCCAATGGGACTCGTCATCCCGCCTTGCCCCCCATCCGACCCACCATTGCTCAACAGCCCACCCATGCTCGGCATGCCCTTCATCAACGGCGATCGCTTGCCTAGGTGCTTCGAAGCGGCGTGCTCGTTCGAAGAGGGAGCAACCTTTTGCATGCTCAGCGCTTCGAGTGCGACAGATTCTTGGGCGGGAGTGAGTCCTGGGATACGTGGCAGCTGGCTCGGACCGGCGCCGTAAGTGGACCGCTTGCGATGGCTTCGCCGAGCAGCCGAGGATGAGAGGGTGGAAGAAGAGGTGAAGGAAGCAGAGGTGTTGTTCTTGTCGCATGGCTCATTGCTGGAAGTCGAAGAGGATGAGTGTCTGCTGGTGTCGGTGTCGGAGGAAGTTTGACCGCTGGTGACGGCGCGGTGTCGAGTGTCAGCACCCGAAGACGTGGTAGCACCGCTGCCACTCGTGTCGCTAGAAGTGCTGCTCGTGACGTCAGTCGTGCCGCGCGTGTTGCCAGTCGTAGAGGCAGCGCCGACACCACCAGACGCACCACCGCTAGACTCTTGGACAGCAGCGACGGCGCCACTAGTATCGTGAGAGGTCATAGCAGCAGCGCTGCCACTCGAGGCGTCGTCGTCCAGCCCGTCGGGGCCACCACCGCTGATGCTCGTCCCAGGAAGAGCGAGACCGGGCTGCGCAGCAACAAGAAGACCTGCTCCATTGGCGCCGCTCACACCCGTCACACCGCCCAGACCGGGAACGAGAACGCCCAGTCCAGCAGCACCTGCGCCGTCGCCGATGCTACCACTGAGACCACCAAGCACCCCACCGTGCAGACCACCAGCGCCGCCCAGCAGCGACGACATGAACTCCTTCTTGGCCGCAATCAAGCCACCCGCGTTGTCGAGAGCACCGAATGTCGGGCTCGCATTGACGTGCGCCAACAGAGCAGAAAGGACGACCAGCGTCCACGATGCTGTGACGACCCGCATCTTGGAGTCGAAAGGATACAGAGGAGGATGTAGAGAAAGGGGGCGTACAGCAGACCAGCTGCTTGATGATGAGAAAAACACTAGGGAAGGAAGTACGAACCAGGGATTGATGGACGAGGGTGCTTAGAGGGGGGATCCGACAATCCGGACGCTTATATCTGCGCATAAGCTCGGAAGAGGTTCGATCGCGGGCGCTCTGACGAAAGTTCATCTTGCGCTGGGACACAGCGATCGCCCTTCGGCATAGGACGTGGGCAGCCGCTGCCGTTTCTAGCAAAGCGATACGATCAGCCCAATCCGGACCATCTGTGTCGCCGGATGGCCCGGGAAAAGTCGCCGAACCCGTACACACGAACACGTTCGCAGCGTACCTGAACAACATTCATCTCCAGCCGGTCCCAAGCCAATGGTCTGCCATATAGTCGCCGGTCGAACGAATGGACCCACACCTGCCGGTCGGCGCACAATCCGGTGCCTGACAACCAAAGAATATCTCCCGCACAACCACAGAAGAATGGGCTCAATTGTGCGGGAAAGCCCTCCCTTCCGCCGGCATGAATCGTCGACAGTCGAAAAGAAAAGGCTTCATCTGCAATGCCGAGCGTCGACATTGATCGCCGGCGTGTTCATTTGCACGGTTCCTTTTCCGCCGCTCAATGCAACCCCCCACTTGGGCCTTTCTTTGAATACGCCCGCCAACGCACAGCCACTCGACCTAATGTCACACCGAAATGCGCCCGCTGCACTGGTCAGCTCGACGTCCGAGAACCGGATCAGGTCGCACAAACGACAGTGCACTGTTGCAATCGAACCCGAACTCAGCAGCTTACGTGCACTGTATAGAATCGCAAGTGTGTCCCCGGCGGCCAACAACCGCTTCGTTAGCGTAGTTGGATTATCGCATCCGTCTAATACAGGATGCCTGAGAGAAAAATTTCAGAAAACCCCATCCCCTAACTTATTAAGCCTAACGGAAGGTCACTGGTTCGAGCCCAGTACGGAGCATATTTTTTTGGCGTCCTTTTTTATTGGTATTGAATTCTATATCTCGCGCTCAACGTTTTTTGCTCACGATCACGCCGTCAATAGCCTCGCGGACTAAACACAGAAGACGCATCTGTGCACACATCTAAGCTGATCTAGCAATGCGATTGAAGGTAAAGCGATGATTGCGATCATGGATCGCGAGGAGGCCCGTCAAGTGAAGGCACTCTGAATCGAAACACTCCGCTACCGGTACTCGTCCTTCCCACCGCCTCCTTCTCCCTCTCTCCCACCGCCTCTCCCTTCGCCACCTCCTTCTTCTCAGCCGGGAACTCCCTTGCTGCGGGAACACCCCCGATGGTCTGCCCCTTCTCCCCCACCACCTCCTCTACAGGCCGCCCAAACCACCCCTCGCCACTTCCCCACGTCGCAGCCACATACATGCTCACGCCCGTCAGAAAACTCAGCACGACAAGAATCGAAAGTGGAATCAGCAGAATCTGACGGATGTGCTCCCAGGAAGAGCCGGGGATGGGGTTGCTGATGACGGTCTTGCCGCCTGCGTTCGACGCGTGGTGCGGGGTGGAGGTGGGGGCGAGGGGTGGGGTTGACATGTGCACGTTCGTGTGCGACGCGCCAGAGTGGATGTTTGCCAAATGAGGGGCGCTGGTGTGTACTAAGGCGGAAGAGGATTGCGGATGACCCTGGGTGTGTGAGGCGGTGGGCGAGACGTACACCTTGCTCGTCGGAGGCGGGTGCGAAGAGGTTGCTGCGTGGCGACTGTGCGACGATGCGCGGGCGGTACGGTGCGCCGTGGTGGTAGCGGCAGGGCTGACGCTCGAGATGGGAGCAGCTTCGACCATGAGCATCGCCATCAGCGCTAGCAGGGTCGCTCGTCGAAACGTCGATTGCTTCATGCTGAACATTCTGTGCTCTTGAGCCCCAGCTATGCGTGCGACTGTGCGTGTTGTAAGAAGCTGTATAAATCGTCAGATGCGATCGAAGAGGGTAGACGATGATGATCGAGAAGATGCGGGTAAAGCTCCTTCTAGGAGTCGAAGATGGACTGGGACCGGCAGGACGAGCAGATGATGGTCTAGAGGCAACAACGATCACGCGCGGTGAGATGATCAACAGTCACGCCTCAGCAGGCTGACCAGCGAGAGCGGGGCATGCCTCTGAACCACGTGAGCCTTCGACCCTCCCAGAGCGGTCAGCGCACACTTTCGTCGATCTTCGTTCACCGCTCTGAGACCCACGCGTCGACGCACGAGCATCCCAACACGCGCCATGATGACCAGCTTCCCACGCCTCAACCGCAATTCGCCTGATTTCATGCGCCCGCATTTCGCACAGATGTCAGACACTGCCCCACGTGGCTAATTTTTTTAAAACAAGTTTTTATTCTCAACCAAATTTGACCCGTCATGGAACGCCGTTTGCAACTCCGCTTGGTTGAGCGAACACACACACAAGGCGAACCGGTGAGACGCAGTCGATGCCCATGCTCCGCACTTAGCGTGCCTCACCAGACTGCCGGTACCCGAGGTGACCGAGACAGAATTGAGGCTGTCGAATAGCGAAGTGATCGTACTCGGAACGGTAGCAATGCATCTTGGGGCTCTGCGTCTTCCGATCCGATTCTGCACGTCAAACGATGAATCAAGCCAGGATCTATGGTTGCGCATTCGCAAATTCTATTGTACACGGTGAGAAGCGGGTGACTGAAAACGGTATCTACAGGATGAATGACTATGTACAAGGTTCGGGCAACGTTCATTTGGTGAACCAAACGACTTTTTCGTTGGGCAGCTTGGAGAGCACCTCCATCTCGGCGGCTACCGGCTTCTGCGCAACCACTACCGCGTCGAACAACTTCTCGAACTTGGCCGCATCCTGGAAAGTTGCCGAGGGAACCTTGGCCCACTTGTCGGAAGTAACGTAGTTGTCGACGTAGCTCACCTCGACGTCGAGTTCGGTGAGCTTGTCGGCGAGGGTGACTGTGGGTGCGTAAGCCAGGGAGGCTTCGCCGCGCTTGAAGCCCATGCCTACGATTGCGACGCGTGACTTTCCAGTGTGGGTCTTGTTCTGACTAGCAAGCTTGGCGACCTCGACAGCTTTGTGTGCGGGACGTTGCTGATTTGCCATCGCGGCCGAGCGGAGGAGAGGCAGATCGCAATTGGCAAACAGATAGAAAGGGTTGACGGGGATGCAGTGACCACCCGCACCCAGGGATGGCGCATAGGGCATGAAACCAAATGGCTTGGTTCCCGATGCCATGACCACCTCGTGCACGTCCACTCCGTGACTCGCACATGCATCCGCAATCTCGTTGACGTACGCAATGTTGATCAACCTCTGGCAGTTTTCGTAGAGCTTGGTGAACTCGGCCACCTCCGGCTTGCTGACAGGGACAACAGTGGTGAAGACGCGCGAGTAGAGCTCGGTGATGCGCTCGAGCGAAGCGGCGTCGAGACCCGAGACGACCTTGGGGATGTCTTCGAAGGCAGGGAAGGTGCGACCGGGGTCAACGCGTTCCGGGCTGAATCCGACGTGGACGCCCTTTGCGAGCAGGGGAGAGAAGAGCTCGCGCGTCATACCAACAGTGACACTCGACTCGACAACGACGGTGGACCCTGGCTGAGCGATGCGTGAGACCATAGCGAAAGCCGACTTGATGTGCGTCGTATCCACCTGGCTGAGATCGGACGTGAGCAGCGTCGGGACGGAGACAAGGCAGAGATCGAACGATGCAGTGCGCTCATCCGCCGAGAGATCCGAGATGAAGCTCACGTTGGGGTTGGAGCAGTGCAGCTGACGAAGGTGCTGGCAGCGGTTCTCGGAGACGTCAAAGGCGATCACCTCGTATGCCGAAGAGAAACGCTCCATGAGATGGGCACCGACAAAGCCGACGCCGACGACGAGGACGCGACCGTGCGTGGTGGGGCGGGCGATCTTGAGCGCCGCATCGAGGGCAGTGGCTGTGGGGAAGAAGGTGACCTTGGTGGGGGAGGGAGTGGGGAGGGGAGAGATGCTGTCTTGGGAGGCGGTGAGGGATGGGCAGCGCTCCATGGGGCTGAAGGCAAAGTTGTCCAGGTCTGCATCGTCGGCGTCTTCCTCATCTGAGGACAATGACGACGAGTCGGTGGTCTGCGAAGGGGTGGTGTTGGGGGCGCTGCTGACGACAGGTGCGAGAAGGCGAGCCACGTCTAGAACCTGCTGCTTGGTTGTCTGCTCGACGACGATGTCGCCCGAGTTGAGCTCAGGGAGCGAGGTGTTTTGGATGACCGCGGCCATTGTGGGACGAGAAGATAGGAGATGGGGGAGGAAGTGCTTGGCGCTAGGAGGAGAGATGGCGGTCTTGGGGAGTGGACTGATGAGGAGACGGACGGATCATGGCAACCATGTCTTCCCCTCTTTATATGTTCGGATCATCTGGTCGAGTGGCTTCAAATGCCGTCTGTACGAACGGCTGTATGCTGCTGTCTCACGAACAACGTCTCGCATAGCGATCTGTTAACAGTCCCTCGGACGATCCAACAAGCTCGGCAGAGCTTGTCTAGTCCTCGCTAGAAGTCGCACTGCAGCTCGCTAGAAGTCCCAACGTCAGTACCGCCGGAAACGTCGGGCCACTCACCGCGAGGGGCGCCGAGGAGCTTAGTGACCTCACTAGTCTCGACGCTGACCGGTACTCGACGAGAGAGACCGTTCGCCCCATGGCTGCAGTTCCAAAGTGAAACTAACACAGATCGTTCGCCTTGCCAGCTGCGCATATCGTTCGAGCCCAGCGAAACAGATGAGCGTCGTGGGAACCAGAGACCGCTTTTGGAAAGAGAGTTCCAGGCGCGCGGTGCCAATCGAGGCCATGAGGCAGGAGTCAGAGTGAGACAGCGTACTCGAAGTGAGGCGATCAGCACTATAGCTCAGAGCGAATGGCGCTCGAAGCGGTGATGACCGAGTCGCTCAAGCTGCGACTCAGCAGGTCTTGGGCCTGGCGATGGAGCCACGTGCTGATCCTGTCGATCCTCGACGATCCATAGACCGGGAACAGAAGCCCTCCGAAAGTAGGCTCAAGATGGTTGGTTCGCTACATGAGCTTGTTTCGCACCTGATGTTGGGTGCTGACTGCACCGCCTGCCCATGCGTGAGACCGGATTTGAGTCTAGCTAGACGGCAATTGATCGCGATGTCGGCACTAAGGAGACCGACTTTTGCTCTACACGCTTCAGAGTCGAATGCATCTTTGAGATCAGACCGAAACCGTCTCAGCTGAACATTCAAGCGAACATGACGCTAATCAAGTCGCACAAGTTGCTTCGCACGCTGAACGAATCTTCGGAAAGGATTCTGCCGTTCACGGGCGACGAGCACAGTCGGAGGCACAGGACTGGACTGATAAACAGGTGTAGAGGCGAGACTCATGGCTCGAAACGAAAGCATGCGCGCCAAGAAGATTGACAGTCTTCCACGTGGGCGATCGACGAGCGCATGGCAGCACGAGAGCTTAGCGCAAATGCGTGAACAATTCGAGCTAGGAACGTATGAAGACAATGGTGAGGGTGCATGCCAAGCAAATGGAGAGCCATTGTTCTTCGGTGTGCTAGATATCAATTCCCCGCAACAAGTTCGTCGAAGCTTCGTCATAGCAGGATGGAGGAGTTTCAAATTCGAGCGACCAGGCAAGCTCTAAATGTCTTGCGCGCGAAGGGCGGAACGAGGTAAGGCGAATGAAGGCGTGTAATTCTGCGCCAAGGGAGGGGTTCTGCACCGCTCCTACCTTTCTGTACCGGTGAAAGGAGGACAGTGCCAATGATGGATTTGGATCTCCACTCATCGCTCGCCGTCGACCGCCAACGTCAAGCGACGCGCGGAATTCCTCTCGAGCAATGCCCGCAGCGGCGACTGAAATGGGGGATGAACGCTTTCCTCTGGGCGAAATGGGCGAAATTCGCCGAATGACCCAATTTGGTTTCGAATTTGGCATTGTTCGACGTGCGGAATTGCTCCCTTGGCGGAATTGATTCGATGCAGCCTTGCATAAGCGAGCTGCCACGCGATGGTGCTTCTTTGGTGTTCGCCTCGCCTCAGCGCTCATTGTTCGCCTGATCCTGCAAGCAGAATGCCTCGATGCGGCGCCTGAATGATGCATCGTACCGAAGACCAGGGTCCTCCTCGCTTCCTGCGTGACTGGTCGATGACAGCTCGCCTACTAGGCGCCTCCCAATTGAACCGCTGTGCGTAAGCTCTTCAGCAATGCGGAGACCCGATCCAATCCGTAGGCCGTTGGCGGCGAATGACTCTAGCAGGCGCTGCTTTCGTCGTCCCTACTCTCGCTCCGAAGCCTGCTTCAGCCACCAACTCTAATCAGATTCGTTCGCTCTATGCTCAAGAGACGACACACACGCTCTTTGCGTCCTGTCAAGTTTGTCGCCGTACTAGCAGCTGGGCGCTATTTTGGGAGCGGGCCAATCCGTGCCACATTCTTCCCACGCCATGTCCCTTCTGTTCGCGTATAGCACCCTCCCAGCTAGACCCTGTAGCCTGAGCACCATTGACTGCCTCTCAACAGTCCATGAAACAAGCGGCTGAGACTTACACTTGATCCTAGCAGCATGATCTATCGTGCGATTGATCTAGGCTAGACCATCAGCGCCACTTCGCTCACCAGACTTGTTTCTCCGCTTTCGATGTCAACGTGTTGCTCGTGTCTTGATCGATTCTCAAAACGCGTGTGAAGTCTTGGCCGCCAAAACTTATGCCCCTGTCTTCCGATCGCAGTCCGCGATCTGCTTTCTTCGAGCCTTCTTTCCTCCCTTCCTTCCGCGTTCCCACCACAGCTCGAAGCCATTCTCAACGTCTCGAGATCACCATGCTCCTGCTTCCTTCTTGATCACCACCAACCCGCTTGCTCACAAAAATCCCGACCGGGACCTCGCATCGAGCCGCCGCATCATCCGCTTCATAGGCAGCAAAGATGACGGAGGAGCAAGACACAAATGGGCCAAGCTCGTCGCAGCTCCAGCCCACACCCTCAAGCTCTCGCACACCTCTACCAAGGCCACCACCTATCGCATTTGCACCTCCTCCAAGAAGGCTTCGACGACCTCAAGCAGCGGCGAGCATCAGCTTCAGTGCATCGCCTCTTTCTCGACCGGCGCTCCGCGCTTCCGACTCGTCATCCAGCCGTCGCAGCTCGAGCGCTTCCTCGGCCTCCTCGAGCGGCGAAGAGGACGATGTGTTTGACGACCGTCATGTGGTTCCCGTCTCGTACCCGCGGCGCTACTCGACCCACTATGGACTTGGTTCGACGGGTACGCAGCCCTCGACACCGACCACGCCCAGGACACCCTTGACGCCGTTCACACCTGGCTTTCGTCGATCGGGCTCGTTTGCGGACGTCAAGGGCAAGACGAGAGCGCTCAATCAGGAGCAGACGCAGCAAAGTCAGGCTGGGGCTCAGCAAACCGAGCAAGAAGCGGCTTCGACAACCGACGACCGGATCGATTCTCCTGACTCTTCGAGCGGTGAGGAAGGCGATGTGTTCGATGACAGGCACGTTCTTCCCGTCTCGTACTCTCGGCGATACTCGACGCAGCCTCCCACGCCGACAACACCCATGACGCCCATAACGCCCATGAGCCCTGGCTTCCGTCTGTTTGGCTCTAACGGCAGCGGAAAAGGCAAGGCGAGAGCGGAGAGTCAGGCCGTGGTCGATCAGCAGCAGACGGAGAAAGGTCAGGCTATGGTCGTCGAGCAGACATTGCAAGTCCAGTCCATGGTCGAGCAGGAGCCGATCCAAGAAAGCGCCCCGCAGGTCGAGGATTCGCAGAGCATCAAGACAGCCGCACCGTCAGACTCGGAGAAGAACGAACTCAGTCGAACTTCGTCCATCGCATCGAGCATCCAGTCGATCTCGGCGAGCGTGGCGGACTATGTCCGATCGAGTCTCAGCAGCGTTGCCTCCTCGCGATCGAGCGACGGCTCGACTTCCACAGACCAGCAACAGGGCCCCTATACACAGTCCACCTACACACGGGTACGATTGCGCCGACAGGAAGCATCAGCGCCAACCCAGGTCGTGGAGGCAGATCCATTCGCCGATCCATTAAACGCACCAGAGCCAGCGACTGTACCCTCCAGCTCTCCGGACAAAATCAAGCCCATCAACGACGCCGACAAGGGCGATGTCGAAAAGGACCACCTTCGCACCGACAAGCCCGCATTCGATGGCTCGCTCTTCCCCGACTATGCGCCGCTGGTCCAGTCGCGCGTCACCGTCGGTCGATGGGGCCTCATCCTCGCGATCGGCTCGTTCAATCTGGCCCTTGTGATTCTCTTCCTCTTCCTCGCCCCTACAGGCGCCTCTCTGGTGGTCATGGTGGCGCTCAAGGCGCGCGACATCCTCTCTGTCCTCTGGCAGACGCTGCTCTTCCTCCTCGCCCTCGTCAGCCAACCTTTTCTCACCAAGAAACCCATGGTCGTCCATCCACCGCGCAAGATCGTCTCCCTCGTCCCCGTATACAAAGAATCCACCCAGGACGTGCTCGACACGGTCGACTCGATCATCAACGACAACCCCGTCCGGACGCAGGACTTCAACATCATCGCCATCCTCGCTGACGGGTTTGATGTCGAAGACGACGTCATTGTCACCGACACCATTGCGCGCGTTGACGACTTTCCCTACTTTTCATGGAAGATCCGCGAATCCGCTTTCCGGTTGCACTTCGGTTACCGTCGAGGGTGTCCGATCATGATCGTTCGCAAGGTCAAGAATGCCGGCAAGAAGGACTCGCTCATCTTCGCCTTCGATCTGTTTAACAGCGATAACGAGGCGACAGGGCATTGCAATAGCGAGGCGAGGGAGATGGTGCTAGAGCACATTCGGAGATTGTACGACCAACCCGAGTTGGAGTGGTTTCACTTTGTGTTCTGTACGGATGCGGATACGAAGATCCTGGCGGGGTCGGTGAACGTGTTGGCGGATCGATTGATGGATGAGGGACCGGAGACCGTGGGTGCGTGTGGGATTGTCGAGGCTGACTTCGAAAAGCCTGGACGATCACTGCGGACGTGCGGGCTGTGGTACTTCTGGGACCACTTCCAGGGCTTTCAGTATACCTACGGACAATGGATTCGTCGGCGAAGCGAGTCTTCCTGGGGTCGAGTCACCTGCATGCCTGGTGCGATCACCATGCTTCGCACCGGCACGATCCTAGGTCAAGCCAGCGCCGAGTATCGCAAGCACGTCCAGAACGGCAATCTGGTCAAGCGTCAAGTGCAATACCAGGGTACCGATCGTCGTCTCTGCTGGTCCATCATTTCGCGCTCCAAGTCCGTTCGCACCGTCCTCGAGACCCGAGCTGCGTGCTTCACCATCCCGCCCCAATCGCTCAGCCACTACCTCTCCCAACGTCGTCGATGGGGATCCAACGCCTACTTTAACGCCTTTATCACCCTTACCGGTCCCAATCAGCACCTCGTCACTCGAGCTTGGATGACTCTCGAACTCGCCCGCTCCTCCCTCGTCTTCTTTCGCATGTACAACTTTGGCCACTTCGTCTACAACCTCGTGACGAAATTCAGCCTCATCGGCGTTGCACCGTTGCTGGCCATCACGTTGTTGCCGCAGATCTGGTTTTTCTTCTGCGTCGTTCTGCCGACCAAGCGATACCGGGGGTTGTGGCACCACCTACTCTACGGTGCGGTTCTCAATCGGGCCTGCAGCGTGGTGCTGACGCCGACGGTGTACGCCAACGTCTTGTTGGGATTCGGCGATTTCAGATGGGGGAAAAGTCATACGGGTGCAAACGCCGCAACCCAGCAGCCGGCGGGAGACGACAAGGCAGTCGACGCAATGGAGAAGGGAGAAAGCAGACCAGAGACTCCGCCAAAGGAATACTCCGAAGTGTGTTAGCCTTTCACCGTTCGAATACAAACATAGAGCGCTGGGTCGCATCGCAAAACCATCACAGTCGAACCACGCCTGTCACTGACATCCACACGCAAATCAAGAGAAGTGAAAACAGAGCTAGATTGAAGCAAATCGAAAGTACAAGAGAGACAGAACCGATAGTCGATCGGAACGTGAGCGGTCCTTGAAGCTAGAAAGATCGACGAAGGGGAAGAAGGTCGAAGTGAAAACGTTTTCGGTCGGACAGTCGAAATAGCGAGCGTTGACGGTGGCGGCGAGACAGACGGGTCCAAGAGGCGAAGCTGGGTCTTGACCATCGCTTACAAGCGCAAGAGTCTGGTGATAGGGCGCAGGATGGGAAGAGCCGGGGCAGGCGCAGGAGCAGGCGCGGGAGCTGGAGCCGGTGCTGGAGCGGGAGCAGGCGCGATAGGGTCGCTGATGATGGGAATCAGAGGCGCAGGAGCAGGCGCAGGGGCGGGTGCTGGAGCGGGTGCCGGTGCCGGTGCGGGCGCAGGCGCAGGCGCGATAGGGTCGCTGATGATAGGGATCAAAGGAGCGGGCGCCGGTGCAGGTGCCGGTGCTGGTGCCGGAGCAGGCGCGATAGGATCGCTGATGATGGGAATCAGAGGCGCAGGAGCGGGAGCGGGAGCAGGAGCCGGTGCAGGGGCCGGAGCAGGGTCGTTGATGATAGGAGAGATGGGGATGAGAGGGGGCTGCGAAGGGTCGCTGATGATTGGGGCGATGGGCTGAAGCGGGGCAGGCGCGGGGTCGCTGATGATAGGATCGAGAGGTGCAGTAATGGGAGGCGCAGGATCGCTGATGATAGGGGGAAGGGGGGCGAGAGGCGGATCGCTGATGATGGGAGCGATAGGAGCGAGAGGATCGGTCACGATTGGCGCCGGATCAGCAACGATGGGCGCGACTGGCGCGACAGGATCGATAGGAAGAGTGGGCGCAGGGTCGTTGATGATGGGAGCGATGGGAATGAGAGGAGGCTGCGAAGGGTCGCTGATGATGGGAGCGATGGGCTGGAGAGGGGCGGGCGCGGGGTCGCTGATGATGGGATCGAGCGGGCCGGTCAGAGGGGGCGCCGGGTCACTGATGATGGGCGGGAGAGGAGCGAGGGGCGGGTCGCCGATGATAGGAGCGACTGGCTCAAGAGGATCGGTGACGATAGGAGCGACTGGCGCAAGAGGATCGGTGACGATAGGAGCGACTGGCGCAAGAGGATCGGTGACGATAGGGGTGAGAGGATCAGTGGGCAGAGTGGGCGCGGGGTCGGTGATGATAGGGATGATTGGAGGGAGAGGATCGGTCGGTACGGTGGGAACGTCGGGTACGGTGGGTACGGTAGGCACGCCAGGCACCGTGGGAACATCGGGAACCGTGGGCACTGTCGGTACGCCAGGCACCGTAGGAACATCGGGAACCGTGGGCACGGTCGGTACGCCAGGCACCGTGGGAACATCGGGAACCGTGGGCACTGTCGGTACGCCAGGCACCGTAGGAACATCGGGAACCGTGGGCACGGTCGGTACGCCAGGCACGGTGGGAACGTCAGGCACAGTCGGCACCGTAGGAACGCCAGGAACGGTGGGAAGGTCGGGTACTGTAGGCACAGTAGGTACGCCAGGAACGGTAGGAACGTCGGGCACCGTTGGAACGTCAGGGACCGTAGGCACAGTAGGTACGCCAGGCACCGTTGGAACGTCGGGGACTGTGGGCACGGTAGGTACGCCAGGTACAGTAGGCACGCCGGGTACAGTGGGAATGTCG